CCCCCCCCCCCCCCTCCTTTGCCCATCTGTCCCACCCTCTGTGCCTTTTAATTTCCCATCAACGGTAATCATGTAGTTCCAGAGCCGTGTCTCGGTCTACCTGTACTCGCATTCGTACATGTATCCGTATGGAGTATTATTCAATACGCGATTCAATTCACTATTCGGCATTGTTATTTTTGGCGTTTCAACCCATGTCAGTTTATTGTTCTTCCAGGCAATATTGCACCTCCTTTGCCTGCTATCCATTCTGCCTCGGAATATATTCGGATAAATCATCATCAGCATAACATCGCATAGCAATATCGAACTGTAGAAAGTACGATCGAATATTACAAGACATAACTCAGCAGATCCACGGTGAAACTCTGGACAGGGCAGTATGAGATATCAGAAGGGATGGTTGACCCATCCAGAATTGCCGAACCATGCATGTTTGTGCTTAGGAAATTTGAAGTCTGGCGTCACACTCGCTGACTAGGTCATCCTTCTCCCTATTTCTCTTAGAAGATACACCGCCATGTCGACGCCCAACTCTGATGATACCAAAGCAGTCTCCAGCCAAGGCTCTTCCTTTGACCAGACGTTGGCCAAACCACTGGTGAGCAGTAGCAGAGCTGGTGATGAGATCTCAGCTACATACACACTTCGACAATCACCGATACTTCTACCGCGCCGGTTGTCCGCAAGCCTCGTGGCGCCCCTGTTGGCGGTCTAGGATAAGTGACGGGTCGTTGACGCTGCTGCTTCGCCGCTCTACCGATCCCATGTCGAGGGTGCTCCGGAAAGGGAGTGTCCCCTCAGCGTTGAAGAAGCACACGATGTTACCGTGTTCATGTGGGTGGTGATAGTGCAAAATACTGACCAGATGTGTGGATAGGCCAGGTTTGCTACATGGCTCATCGGGTAGTCTAATGTACAAGCCCATTGTCGAGGACCATAACTGTGAACAACAGCTCCATCTCATCCGACATCGAGACCGAGATCCGGGTTACTTATATAATCATACAATGCCGATTTGAGCTCCTGGTCACCCAGCTGACGTCTGAAGGTATCCGCCTCGACGCAAAGTGGCACGCAGATACTCAGCGATAGCGACGTGACTAACTCCAACACCTCTGCAAGCCCAGCTCCCCCCCCCCCTTCCATCCAATCGATCCTATTGAGCTGCCTACGGGGCAGGCTGCACTTCTGCATGCCATATTGGTTCAGGATATTGAGCCTCTTTGTGGGCAGCCTGCTCGCCGCTAGTGCACTCATGGTAGAATGCGCAGATGGAACACCTCCGGACGGCCTTGGACGTGGGCTGGAAGAGGTTACGGGGCGACAAAGGCCCGGGACTGACCTCTTCTAGGTGCGTTACCCTTCCCCCACCGTTCACGGCCAACGACGCACGCCCGCAGCGTCAGCGCCTCGAGCGGTCCATCCAGACCCCTTGAGCCGTGCCAGTCCTTCGAACAGCTGCGTGAGAAACCTCATCTTCTCTGACCGAGAACTGCTCGCGTCGCTTGTCGCTTTTCATGTGTGTTTTCGGATGAGCCACAGCCACCCACTCTGATGCGTTGGACCGGTGCGTGCCTGATCTCTCCTTCCCTTGGCGACGCCGACGATACAGATGTCCTGCACAGCAGCCGTCGACCACGAGAGACAGAGGTCCTTGGTCAGACCATGGGGAGACTCGGGCGTCGGGACAATTTTCTTGGTCTTGCGTGGAGACCCTAGGAACCTATAGGAACCTAGAGCCCGTTGAGCAGGTCGCCAGGGTCTTTCACGTGAGTCGGAGACTAAAGATATCGTCGGGCGGTGGAAACTCGACCAAGATTCGGACTATTTTGGTCGAACAGGGCCTCGGGGAAGGGAGGCCATGGCTGAACGTTGTTGGCATCGTTGTGTGACCCTGTTGGCAAAGTTTCGATTGCCCATGACCCCTGCACAGGTCGAAGTAAGCCGCCTACTCGTAGACTCTACCGACCCGATGTAATCTGTATTACATGTAACATATCAGACGTACTTAGCCGGACCTACCCCGCTCTCTCCCAAGCACTGCACAGTGGTATGAGTGCAGCATGCCGATTTTGTGCAGCTAAGGAGAGAGTACTATCGAATATGAACGAAGTTTGCAAGGTCCAGCCCTTGAAGGCATCCCTCGGGACACGATATTGCACGGGGTATTGATATCCGTAATACCTGCCGGTCCCATTCTCCCGCCACCAAAGTCAAAAGTCTAAGAGAGAAGAAAAACAAAACGGGGACTAGAAGAAAGATGAAGGATGAACGCTGACAGACAGGTCATGAGAAATGCATTTCGTCGGATTAAAAGTTGCTATGCGGAGTTTGCTATACTCCGTATTTTAGTTGTTAACTGCGTGCGAAGTAGCACCGACCTTGCATATCAGCACGGATTTAATGGCGGCTAATGGTGCACGTGACTTGATGTAGGCGAGCTGGTACCGAGATATGCACGATTGTGCGGGGAAGAACGAGCTCGCGTCTATCGCGACTTGGATCAAAAGCCGACGTCCGAACGTTTTGTTATACGAGGAGTATTGATAACGAGGTGATTATGTACCGGGATCTATATTCGTAACCGTCCATTCGACGGAGCAATACTACGTTATGAATGAAGCGAATAAGATGAGAGGACGAAGAAGAGCGCATTTGTCATGCCACTTCCTACATCAACGGGGGTTTCCCCTTCTTGTAATCCCACCGTATCGGAGCATACTATCGTCCTTTGTTCGGAATATACAAAGGCCGTCAACGTCGACAGCTCTTACACCCTGACTACTCGGAACACGCATCTTTTCCTCTCGAGTCATTGATCAATATTTTTTTTTTTCATTTTCTCCTTTTTTTTTCAAAGCCTCTTCTTTTTTTCCCCATCATATCTACCTTCTTAACTGTATAACCTTTCTCTCCTTTTCATTCTTTAACACCCTTCTCCCCTCTCTTCATAACTTCTCCTTCTTGTCCTCCTTCTTCATCAACAATCCTCAACATCAAGAAAAAGAAGACGAAGAAGAAGAAGAAGAGAAAAAGGAGAAGAAAAAAGGGAAAAGAAAAGGAGGGGGGAAGAAAGAGAGAAGAAGAAACACCCCGGGCTATCTATCGCCGATCCCCTGCTCGACTTACACACGATGTCGTCCTCTCCGTCAGGTCCTCCCTACGCACCCAAGATACCCCAATCCGGCCTCACGCCCACGGTATCGGTCGACGTGCCCATCTGCGCCGTCCTGGTAGCCATGTTTGTCTGCGGTGCCGTAGCCAACATGACGATACTGCAGGTCAACCTCCGCCGCGGCCACAAGTTCATACCGTCCGGCGCCCTGTTCGGCTTCTGCATGGCGCGAACGACGGCCTGCAGCCTGCGCATAGCCTGGGCCGTCCACCCGGACAACGTGCGGCTGCTGATCGCCTCTTCCATCCTGGTGAGGGCCGGCGTCCTCCTCCTCTTCATCCTGAACCTGCTGTTCCTGCAGCGCATCCTGCGCGCCCTCCACCCCTCGTGGGCCTGGCGCGACAGCCTCCGCTACGCCTTCCGCGCCCTGTACGTCAGCGTCGCCCTCGTCCTCTTCATGACCATCGCCTGCGTCGTCTACACCTACTACACCCTCGACGTCGGCATCCTGGCAAAGCTGCGCAACGTCCTCCGCACCTCGGGCGTCTACCTCCTCTTCGTCTCCTTCATCCCCATCCCCGGCATCCTCATCGCCCTCGTACTTCCCAGGCGCACCGAGATCGAGCCCTTCGGCCAGGGGTCCCTCCGCACAAAGATCGCCCTCGTCCTCTTCACCACCACCCTGCTCACCCTCGGTTCCGCCTTCCGCGCCGCCGACGCCTTTCTACCCTCGGCCCCCGGGAACCCCCACTGGTATAACGAGAAGCCCGCGTTTTACTGCTTCAACTTCGTCATCGAGATCATCGTCACCTACACCTATATCCTAGTCCGCTTCGATCGTCGATTCCACATTCCCAACGGCAGCTCGGGCCCTGGTCACTACTCTGGCGGTATCAAACCTCCAACGTCCAGTACTGACGAGGTGGATGAGACCAAGACTTGATATCGCCTGTTTCCACCTGTATTCTTTCTCCTTTCCTTTCCTTTCCCTTCTCTCTTCCCTTCTCTTCTCTTCTACTCTGTTCTTTTTTTTTCACTGTCATCAATATTATTATTAATCGTTTCATCTCCATCTCCCCCCCTTTTTTTTTTACACGAATGCTTCCTTGACGAGTTAGCCGGCGTACGCCCAGCAAGGATTGGATGGAGGGAACTTGGTAGCGTGCATAGAGAGGATTCTGTTTCGTAGCAGCGGAAGAAAAGAAAAGAAAATAAAACAAGTAATTAACATAATCCCAACTCATCACTCTTAGTATATTGCTATATCAAAGGCTACATCCGTATCCGACAAGATAGCATTTGACCTATGAATAACGCCCTTTATTTATTTGCTACACTGTGAAAAAGCTCCATTTATTCTTGTATGTCCGGGGGGGGGAGGGGGGAACACGAGACCCGCCGCACGTCGTTGCCTTGCCAAGTATGACGTAACCGACTACATCGATCTCTCGCCGTCATCCACCTTGGAGACATGAAAAACAGTGTACAGACAATTCTGCACAATGCAAGAAGAAAAATACCAGCCGTACTCGTACACCGTGCCATCGTGAAAGGTAGCTGAACGAGGTGGGCCAGAAGCGCACAGTGCCTGGGCTGCCGCTGGAATTGCAGGTGCCTTCCAGACGCCGAGTTTTCTTCCCTACATCCCCTCCCAGCTCTCCCATCGATGTGAGCTTCGACTGTGCATGCGATATCCCGCAGGCTTGGGCTAGCTTGTGAGGAATTAGAGGAAGTAGTCAGGGGTTCCTGATAGAGAAGTCAGCAAACTGTAGGGGTGGAAGATGACGAGAGCAAAGAGCGACTTACGCCTTGAGACCATGGGTTCTCCAGCTCTGGGGCAAGGGTCGAATTGCAGGCTGCAATACTGTTAGCATCTGCAACACTCAGGAAAGTAAGAGGAAGTGGTGCATACAAGGTATATTTCAGGTGCTCGTCAATCTCCATGATGGCAGCCTGGTTGCCGCATCGGTAGCAGTAATTGGGTGCTAGAAAAGCAAACGAGACGTCAGCCTCAGGCAAAGTCGTGTACGGGGGCGAAAAGGCGGAGGCGGATGAGCGGATGCAGAGGGGGCAATACGTACCAGAGAAGATGGTCACCACGTTACGGTCCTGAGACCAGTTGTAACCCTCCATGACAAGCTGGTGAGCTCGCGCAATCAACGTCAGGCCGTTGTTGTGGTTGAAGGCCTCCGAGATGTCCTGGCCGAAAGTGTAGCCGGCACCACGGGGGGATATTCCCCAGCCGCACCGGTCGTCGGGGTCGGACCACAGAAGGTCACACATGGGACCCTCGTGAGGCACCTCCTGAATGCGGTCGAGAGCTCGGATGTTGTCGAGCGTGTCGATGCTGGGGGAGAGGCCGCCGTGGAGGCAGAAGATCTGGTTCTCAATCAGGGCCGTCAGGGGCAGGTAGTCGAACAAGTCGGTAAAGTACTTCCAGACGTTGGCGTTTCCGTATTTGCGGAGGCACTCGTCGTAGAAGCCGTAGACCTGGGTGATCTGACGGGACTCGTGGTTCCCGCGGAGAATGGTGATGCGCTGGGGGTATCGGATCTTGAGAGCAACGAGGAGCGTGACCGTCTCGACGGAGTAGTAGCCACGGTCAACGTAGTCGCCTGTATTTTTCATCGCGATGGTCAGCGGGCCATGTCATGAAGCTACTGTTCGAACCCGTTGAGAAGAAGGGTCGACGGGATGGGGGACGGCGTGCGCACCCATGAAGAGGTAGTTGGTGTCGGGATTAGGTCCACCAATTTTAAAGAGCTCCATAAGGTCGTGGAATTGACCGTGGATATCACCGCACACGGTAACGGGGCATTTCTAGCGGGAGGAGGAAAAAGAATGTGTCAGTTACACGAAGTAAGATCCCCGCATAAAGCAGAATGGGTTGGCACTTACTACTGGCTGGACGTTGGACTCGTCTTGTAGAACTTCTCGCGCCTATCGACAATATCAGCACCGTCACCGGAAGAAGAGGGGCGGTGGAGGGGCAGCAGCAGCTCGGCGAGAACACGCATCCCAATCCTCCACATCAGCAAAAATTCAACTCACCTTATCGCAAAGCCTCTGGACGTCGATCTCGGACAGCTGCTTGCAGTTCATGAGGCCCTCTACCCAACTATCAAGGGTGCCGATGGTGGTGGGCTCAGTCTGGACAGGCGGGAGATCGGCGGGGATTCTTCCTACGTCCTCCATGTTGGTATCCATCGCTTCAAATCACGTCCGGCGTGTCGAGTATATATAGGTATGCGCGTTGTTGGTGCTTTTTTTTTTCTTCTGCCCAAGAGTCAGGTATCAAGAGGGAGGGATGGCAGGTCGGGCGGGGGGGTAATGACGTTGGAAGGAGAGAGATTGATGATTCCCCCCAAAAAAAGGCCTTGGAGAGAGTCGCAAGCGGTGGGGTAAAAACAAGGTGTTCCCCCCAGGACAAGAGATAATAAAAATGAGCAAGTGACGTGCAGGCTTGGACGCGTTATTATTTCATATGTGCGTGGAAGCAAGGTAAACGTGGAAGACGTCCGATGGAGAGAATGGTCGCGTCGTTTGGGATATTTCGTCGTGCCTTCTCACGTGTGTGTGTGTGTGTGTGTGTGTGCGGGAGGAGGAGGGAGAGGCAAGCCAGCAAGAAGGAGGGAGAAGCACGCACTCGTATGGACACTGGGACTGCTATACTAGTCCGTACAGATAGAGCTGAATGAAGGAGGGCCAGCTCTGAAAGGGGTGTGTTTGGGGCGGGGGGAAGCTGCTGTTATTAGTGGATACCCGACAGCAATAGTTTGGTTGCTCTAAAGAGTTGCTGCAGTTGGTTGAATTCAGTATAATTGCTCCGTCGTCTACCTAAGATTACCTGTATACATTATATGTAGAGGCTTATCGTTTGCTTACTCAGATACCGTTCCAACGCTCAATCTAGTCAAAACTGAGTACGAACAATAGATATATTAATAGATAATACGATAGATACTCCTTACAACGCCCGGTACTATTTTCCGCAGCGTACATGTACTGCTACACCTCCAGTAATTCTGTAATCTGTACTGTAACTCCTACTCCGTATTACTCCGTACTTGTATGGATATCTGTACAGACTACATACGGAGTAGTCATATACGTTTTTTAACATCCTGGCCCACCACCACAAGACGCACACGGGAGATTGCAGTATCGCTGCATCTGAGCCCGATCAGCAGAGATTACAGAGTGACCACACATCTGTGACGAGTATTACACCGAGCAATACAATCAATCTACCCCAGCCGCCGTGTCGGTCTTGAGATCGGCCATCTCTGCAGCCATCTGCTCGTAATCATACATAAACACGGATTAGGCCCATTCCGTCGCGTCAGGCAAATTGACATCCCACCGCTCACCGCCCAAGACACCCAAATCTCACAGCACCCACACCGAGCACGTAATCGTCTCGTGGTGAGACGCATCTGTACGTCGTATATTCATACTCGTAGCATGCATTGCTGCTCCATCGCCGCACTGTACTCTTGAGTGGTAAAACAAGGTAGCAAGCAACAAGGGTATGATTCACAAAGGCTCTACTCGTAGATATAGACATCGGCATCAGCTACCATAACAGCGTCAATGACAGCAAAACTCTCACCCAGCCACCGCCCGCGACTTGCTAACCGACAATGGCGACAGAGGCCCCGGCGGCGATGCAACCTGCTGCTCAACCCCCCTCCCAACCAGGTTGACAAAGTCCAGCCCGACCTCGGACAGCATCTCGGCGTGCTCCTTTGCCCTGTCCATGCACTGCGTCCAGACTTCGCCTCCGGGCTTCGTGCTGCTGAGCTGTCGGCCGAGCACAACGTTGAGAGCCTCGACCTGCTCCTTGGCCCACTTGACGCACGTGCTCATCATAGGCGGCGGGAAGCACCCCTGGAAACACCTGACCGTGTTCCGGATGATCATGAAGTAGACGAATGAGATCTGCCAGATGTAGAGGTGTAGATCGCCTTGGAAGATGCATTGTCTGCAAGTCGGGTTAGCAAGATGGTGTCGGTCACGATGGGTCGTGGTCAAAGTTGGGAGAGGGGAAGGAGAGCGAAAGATACCTGGTCCTCTTGTGGATCGTGTCACTCCTCGCGGCGAGGTAAGCCTCCCGCGCCCTATCCTCGTAGCCTAGCCTGGTGAGCCAGCTGACGTTGCGCTTCGTCTTATTCTGCTCGTTGTGCGTCGTCGATAGCTCGCGGATGATGACTCCCGCCAGCCTGCCGCACCTCTCCTCCACCTTGAAGTTGATGAAGTCCTGTGCGACGACATTGTTCTTGAGGCCCCGCGCGAGGCCCTTGAGCTTTTCGACGCGCGCCACCGCCGGCTCGAAGCTCTGGAGGGCAATGTCAATGTCGAGCCCGTCCATCTGGGACTCGATCCACCGCAGGTTCTGCTGGTTGCCGTCGACCTCGATGAGCATGTCCTTGACGTCGGACAGCGTCTCGAGGAGCTCCGTCTTCTGCAGGAGACCCGGATCCCTCGACGCAAAGTAGTTGATTGTCTCGCGCGCCTTGTTGTTGGCCTCCATCTCGGACTGGAGGCCTTTACGCAGCTCCTCGATCGCCTTGCGTACATTGAGCAGCAGTGACTTCTTCTCGGCATCGTCAGGCTTCTCGGTCCGGTAGATGAAGGACTCCTGTCCGCCGCCGCGCACCATGATGGCATCGGTCAGCTTGTTGCTCCGCCCGCCAGCCGATTCGCCCGTACCCGCCATGTCCACCACCTCGACGTCAAGCAACGACAGGCACCGGTCCGCCACCAGCTTCGACATGGGGCCCCTCGGGTCCACGCCGGCCGCCGAGTCCATCTTCCTCTTCTTGCGTGAGGCGATGAGAAGGTGATCGTTGAGCAAGAATATCTGCATGGCCCTACGCGACTTGTACGTCGCATTGTCCAGCTCGACCCAGGGCCCTGCGTCCTGCACCACATGCCGACCAGCGGCGATGGGCAGGAACTTCTGCGAGCCCTCGACATTCTTGTATAGGGCCTGCATCTGAGAAGTCCAGAGGGCGCTCCTATCGGCCACCGAACTACGCTTGTCCCTCTTGCTCATTCCCGTCGACATCTGCCCGGGGAGGCTGGCTGACTCGTCGCGCTTGTTAGAAGCGGCCCGGAGAGCGGTCGCGTTGGTCTTGAGATCGGCCATCAGATTCCGCAGCGCTCGCATCTCGCTCTTGAGCTTCTCTGCCTCTTTACTGATCTTGATGAACTGCGTGCGGTTCTGGAGGAGGTTCTGCTGCAGGTCCGCTGACGCACGGCTCTTGAGCTTGCGCAGAGACTCCTCAAACTGTCGGATCTGGTCGTCAGTCGCGTCGCTCAACACGCTGGCAGCGTACTGCTCCGCCGCCAGACCGGGGTCGCGTAGCGCCTCGATGTCCAGAGCGGGCGCCGCACCCCCCGAGCGGGTAGGCGGTGGCCTTTGCTGTTCCGTGGCGGCATACTTGTCCAGCTTGGGCATATTGGGCATAGGAGGAGCATTGGAGATGTCAAAGTCTTGGTTGAAGCGAGTCGAGTATCGGCGCTTGACTAGATCCGAGGTCTGTTCGGCAAGAGGACGCGTTTCGGTCAGCGAAGGAAAAGGGAAACTTTTTTCCCCCGATAATTCCATCAAGCTCTCACCTTGTCACCACCTCCGGTCTGTTGCCTCGGGCGTGGCCTCGCAGCCGGGTTTTGGGGGATGGGGGGAGCCATCGCAGGCATATTGGCGGCGCCGCCATCTTGAGGGATGGGACCGGATATCTGGCGCGGGGGGCCGATGACGGGACGGTTCTTCCTCTTGACACTCCGAAGAGATATCCTGCTGCGTTCTTCCGACATGACAGGACGCCTTTGCCGGAGCCTCTACCCCAGCAACTGCTGATGAGGTTATATGCGTTGAGAGAGACGCCTGTAAGCAATGGGGGGGGACGTCAGACAAACCGGCCTTGGGAGCTTCCGATACAACCAGCCACGAAGCTTTGTCTCAGTAGATCCGGCGATTAACCGATGAACCACCGTAGGTACTGGGACAGTGCCACTGTTCCTATTCTTAGTAATATGACGGCCCTATCGATAATCCGAGCTCCTGACCCGAAACAGGTAATGCGCGCGCCCCGAACACTCTGGGGGGGGGGGGGGACGCCCGGAAACTGGCTGGCTGACCATTGGCGACACCCTAAAAAATTGGTTTCTTCTGTGATGCAAAGAAACAATTAACGTCCAAAGTTACACCTCCGTCTCTCTCCCCCAAAACTCCTATTTTTTTTTTTAATTGGCGAGCAGCCGTCATCACCCACCACCCTCTGTCTGCTCTATTCTCTCCTTTTGTTCTCTCTTCATAATCTTCCATCTTTTCTCCCATTTCGTATTCCCCTCATAGAAGAGCGGTTCTCCCTCCCTTTTTCTTTTTTTTTCTACCAAAGATGGTCTCGACATCCACCGTGCTGACGGCTTCCGTCGCAACTGCCGCAACTGGCGTCCTGGGTATGCGAATTCTCATCTCTCTCTCCCCGCAAAAGCCGGGGGGGTCATCTCGCCAGCGGCCGTCCATCATCTTCGATTCTTAATGCCTTACGAATACTGACAATGGCTTTTCCTTTCCCGCCCCCCACCCCTTTCGACAGCTTACGTTGCCTACTTCGACTACCAGCGAAGGAACCAAGCCGACTTCCGCCGCAGCCTGAGGAGGAACGAACGCAAACAGGTCCGCGCCGAGAAGGAGCAGGCCGAAGCCTCAACCCAGAGGCAACGTGCCGCCATCAAGTCCCTCATCGACGATGCCAAGGAGCAGGGCTTCCCCTCGGGTGTCGAGGAGCGTGAGGGCTATTTCAATGAGCAGGTCATGACCGGCGAGGTTCTCAGCCAAGATGGTAAGGCTCTCCCATCCCCGCTCCCCTCACCCATCCCCACGGTGTCCGTTTACTGACAAGCGTCCATGACTACAGCCTCCAAGAAGGTCGAGTCAGCTCTCGCATTCTACAAGGCCCTCATGGTCTACCCTGCCCCTAGCGACCTCATCAAGATTTACGACAGCACCGTTCCCAAGGTAAGCAACTCCGGCCCTCTTTGCTCTCCATCTCCGATCTTCTTCCTCCACTTGAGGGGGGTACGCTTGAACTGACTCTAACCTTCACAGCCTATACTTGATATCCTCGCCGAGATGATTGCTTACGACTCGAGCTTGGATATCCGCCCTCGCGCTTCCAGCGCCGGTGCCGGCCCCGCTGGCATCAACCTCAGCGACATGCCCAGCGTTGGCCTCGACTAAATACATGACAGTGCGCAGCCACTCAAGTCGCTTCCCTTCCTCTTCTTCCCCCTTTTCCCACGTGGGGGGCAAGTCGAGAGAACTGGGTAAACAAATAACAAGGAGTTTTTGGGAGAGAGGGAGGAGTGTCTCGAGTATTGAAGCTCTGCGGAGAAGAGGGTGACGGGAAAATCTATCGCGGGGAGGGTGGTTCTTTTTTATTCATGTGTTACTTCTTTTTTTTCTTCCATTTAGACACCTCCCCTCCCCCATGTACTATCATAAAGCTTGTGTTAACAAATCTGACGTTGAGATGAAGCCGCCGCGGCGCTTTGAGTGGGAAAAGGCAAACTGCTGGCAGTTGTATTTCACAATACAACGAAACAACCCATGTGTCCTCATGTCTTTCGGCTGCTGGATAACTGTCACACTCCTGAATACTTGCCGTGGACGTGACTATAGAGTTGGTGAGACTTGAAAAAAAAAAAAAAAAAGTCCATCGAGGCAAACGTGTAAAAATCTTTGATGGTTGAATGAACGTAATACTCTGTTGATTTGGTTTTTCACTTTTTTAGATATACTTTGGAAGGTCCTCAGAACTCCATTGCGTCATCCGGACGGTCGCGCACAACGACAGGTTCGATCCTGCGGCCTTTCCTGTCGACCCTGTCATCCCTGGGGTCGAAGCCACCGTTGCCCCAGAGGGCCCATTCGGGTGTGGGCGGGCCCATGTAATCTTCGGGTGTCCAGTCGCCGTCGGGCCCTCTCTCCTCGAGCAGCTCGAAGAAGCGGTCGTAGTCGATGTGGGTGTGCCACTTGCCGTCGACGTTGAAGCGGCGGCTGGCGAGCAGGATGCAGCAGCTGTGGGCGTGCTCGGCGGCGATGCCGTAGTCGAGGCCGCGCTCCTCGAGCTTGGCGTTAAGGGCGCGGACGAAGTCGCAGACCTCCCAGTAGAATGGGACGTTGCCCATGGTGAGGCCGGCGTTGGACGAGGTGGCGGTGCCGCAGTAGGTGACGCCCTTGACCTCGACGAAGCAGGGGAGGCCGCGCTCGACGAGGCGCGCGTAGCCCTCGGCCTCGTCGTCGACGTTGAAGCCCTTGACGAGGGTGAAACGATAGACGGTACGATGGCGGAAGCGCTTCTCGCGCAGTATGTCGAGGCAGCGTTCGAAGCGCTCCCAGAAGTCGCGGTGCAGCGGGCGGTCGACCCTGCGCAGCGACTCGCGGTTGGACGCGTCGATGGACACGTACAGCTGCGTCACGGCCTTGAGCGAAGCCAGCTGGTCTGGATGCTGGGCGTTGCAGACCAAGAACGACGAGATGCGCTCCGCGTGCAGCATGCCCAGGAACTCGTTGATGTAGGGGTAGAATATGGGCTCGCCCACCAGCGACAGCGCGCAGTGGCGGATCCTCAGAGCCTCGCTGAACCGCTCCGCCCGCACCCCGGGCACGCCGCGCATCATCTTGATCTTCTTGTAGTGGTTCTCCTTGACGCCCTCGAAGATGAGCTCCGGGGGGTCCACCACCCACCGCCACGTCGTGCCCACCGGGTTGGTCCCGTGCCGCCAGCAGAAGACGCACTTGTTGGAGCACGACAGCGATGGCGTCGTCTCCATGCACTGGTGCGAGTTGATTCCGTACAGCGAGAACTTGTAGCAGCTGCCGCGACCGCGCAGCGCAGATTTGGTCCACCGGCAGATCTTGACGCCGGAGTGCGACCCCACAATCGCGTACCCTTGCTTGGTGAGGGCCGTGTACGTCGGTGAGTTCTTGGCCACCATCTCCTTGGGGCCGATGGGCGGCGCCTGAGAGGACTTCTTGGCCGTCTTCTTGGCCGCCGCCCCCGACGACGCACCACCACCGCCGTACGTGGTAAAGTCCACTGCCAAGGGGGCCTTGACCACCTTGGCGGCCTTGTCGTCGCTGCGCACCATCTTGCCCAGGTCCTCGACATCGTCAAGAGCCCTGCCCCCGCCGTCCGCCTCCTCCTCCTGGTCCTCAAAGATGACCTCGCCATCGTCCTCGTCCTCGGCCACGTCTTCGGCGTCGCTCTCCGCTGCCTCTCCGCTACCAGGCACGCCTTCGCCCAGATTGCCGACGCGCGCGATGTTGACCAGGACCTCCTGGACGCCGTTCGCCCACTCGGCGAACCTCTCGACGTGGTCGCTCTTCATATCACCCATGCCGAGGGGGTACGCCCTCTTACGAGCCGTCAGCTTGGCCATCCACCTGTCCGTCTCCTTGGCCTGGAAGCAGAAGCCCTCGGCCTCGGTGGGCCAGTTCTCCTTGTCGCCAAAGCCGAAGACGGAGTATCCGAGCAGCGGGGAGAGCGGAGCCGTGTCGATCCTGAAGTCGTGATGCGTCTCCTCGAGGTGCTGCATAAAAGTGTCATTGATGGTGTCGATGTTGTAGCTCGGCACCAGGAGGAGGTAGAACATGTCGGCGTCGGGCTGCTGCTCCGGCTTCGGCAGTGAGACGAAGTAGTCGTCAAAGTCAATCTCGGACAGATCGCGCAGCTCGGGCTCAAGGAAGTGCCGGCCGCTCTCCTCTGTGAACTTTCCCGCAGCCGACGTCAGGCTGCTGACGTAGAACTCGGCAAGCTTCTGCGTCTTGGTCGTCACGGACGAGAAGAAGACAAAGATTTTGATGGGCTTCTTGGCGGCGTCATCCTCCTCCGATGAGGGCTGGTCCTTCTTTCCGCGCAGAGACTTATTGGCCAGGCCTCCCTTGATTCGGCGCGGTCCCCTGCTGCCGGCAGCGACGGCAGTGATATCCTTCTTCTCGGCATCGGCAGCCCTCGTCGCAGCCTCACGCTTCTTCTCGTCGACGCCAGCAGTGGTAGCAGCAGTAGACTGCTTTTTCGGATCTGCTCCGTAGATCTCTTGGAATGCAACCAACTCGTTCTTGGGTTCGTTGAGGTGCAGGTATACGCGCACCGCGAGGAGGATGGAGAGGACGACAAGGAGGACCGGGCCACGGTGGGCATGCCAGATCTCGACGAAGTCTGCCAAGGGCTGTATGTGAGCTGCAAGTTTCCAATGGTATTCGTTCCTTCTCTGTGGGGAGGGTATTCTCCGATACCTGGGATAGGATAGGAGCGGGATGCTTACCATACGAATAGCCTCCCATCAGGGGGCTCTGACTCGCCAGGACTGTTTCCATGATGACAATGGATGCTGCTGGTCTGTCGGTCTCAGCGCTCGAGTGACGAGCTCAGCCTGTGGTGGTGGACTAAATGGTTTTACGACGACAAATGAGTTTTGCCCCGCCATTGATTGGTCTGGCCCAGATTTGGTTGTGGGGTTACTAAGATCTCGCGGGATCTGCTTACCCGGCACAGAGTTTGAGGGTGCAGCATTATAGATATGTGCATGTCCCCGGATTGAGATGTCATTGAATAAAAATTCACCGTATATCGGGGAAATATTACATCGTCTTCTGGACTCTATAAATACTGTTATCTTCTGCTGAGAAGGCCATGGTACTCTGGTCTGGTGGAAAGTGAAGGTGCTCATCCTCTAGTTGATATAAGGCGTAATCTGTACATATGTTGTATGATGTTGTCGGAATGGTACTACGTTGCTAAAACATAAGATATATCGTAAGAGAAGAGCCAATAGACTCAAGAATACTATTGAAGCGACAGTACTATGAACCGATCACTAGAAGCGACCTATGCTCCTCACTCGATTGATCACGTCCTCATGTTCTCCATCCAACCCACGATAAGAATGAGAGAATGGTCTAGGAGGGCTTGAAATAAAAGGGAAATATACAAGAGCAATTAGGAGAAAACGAGAACACCACCCTTGAAAGCACGCACTCCTGCCAGCGATAGGAGATTCAGGTAATTTCAAAACTCCTCTATCCCAGCCAGCAGCAAGCCTACCTTCTCTGTCATTATCGAGATAGGGAGCGACAAAGACGTCACAGGACAGGACCATGAGGAAGGCCTGGACGGCCACGACGACTCATTGTACGACGACGGACAGGGACAGAATCATGGCAGACATCTTGAAGAAGAAGCGGCTGCCGAGGTTCTGAGCCGGAGACCCCGCGCAAGCAGCCAGCACGCCGTTGGCGGGCATGATGGGCAGCAAGGGTGCGGTGGTGATGGCGTCGGGGGTGGGACTGGTGGCGCGACGTGACGACGAAGGGGAGCTTGATGCGCAGGCCCAGCGATATCACGACATCCAGCTACCGTAGCGACCAGGTGAAGTAGAAGAAGGCGTCGCTCCATGTGCTGCAGCACAGAATCATCATGTGGATGATTGCAGAAAGGGGTCAGATGGCTCATGCCATATCAGAGAGGCACAAGCGAGGACAGGAGATAGAGAGAAGGGAGAGGTAAAGCAGGAAGAGAGTCCCTTGCTAATGCCATGAAACAGAAAAAGAAAAAAACCACCCTGGAAAGAGCGACTGCGCCGGATGGGCCACCACGGGCAAACCACGGCCCAGGATACATGGAGTACCGGGCGATGGAGATGAGGGTGAAGCCCGTGAAGAGGACTATTCTGAGGCAGAAGAAGACGTAGGATACGTATCGGACCCAGAGGAACGTTGCAGGGAAACTGTTAACGGAGGACGACGGACACCATGCCCGTGGTCCATGCTGGCTGTGAACCAACCATCTCGTGACTCCCAGTCATCGGTGATTTGAAGACTCTCACAACCGAGGTGGGGGGATGAGTCGTCGACAATCAAACCGCGCCGTCTTCTGGCGGAAGCAGCTGGTGAGGAGACGGTCGAGGACAGCTGAGGACCAGAGCGGCCAGATGTGAGTTGAGGAACCACGAGTCTTGAGTTGATGGATTCTTCCCGCTCTCCTGATCATGTCGACCTGTGCTCTGCTACTTTGCTACTCTGCTACTAGAACTAGTCGTGCCTTGTTGGTGTCGATGATAGTATCACTGCCAAGAGCAGTTACATATAACAGCCTCGATCCTATCTTGGAGGGTTGAATAGGTTTCCAGTTCTCACTGTAGATCGTTGTTCAGCATAGTCCGCAAGGGACATACGTATTTGTATACCATCCGAGTCGCAGAATTAGACCCATTGATTCCAAAGAAAGAGAACGAGAAGATGGATGAGCAATGGTAGGTAGTAATCTGTAGTGATATCTGTGGTAATAATAATACTAATACCGACGAATTCCCTTGCACAAGAAGCCGCCGAGCCGAAGCCCCACCTGGACCCTCATGGCAACATAGCGGATCAGAGTGGTGTACTTTGGCCGGCTGTCCAATCTTCCCCGACATCGATATATACATCCCAAGACTCCCGTCCCCAAGGTCTTTGGATCTAATCTTCTATTCGAGATTGAATCTACCGATTCAACCGCTTCTCCAGACGCGTTTTTGTCGACCGTCGACGTCTAGATCGCTGCATCAGAGCCAAGTCTCGTCTTCTTACAAGGAGAGTGGTGGGGAAAATCCATTTTTTTCCCAATTTTTTTTTTCCTCACTCACACCTCTCCAGACGACGCCAACCACACCGGCAAACAACAGCCGGAAAACGGTTAGACAACCTGTGCAACGGAACACTTCGGAAGTGTCGTCGTCGGTTCCTTGCTCTCCCTCGCTCTTTGTTTTCTTCCCGTGTGCAGTTGATATCGTACCACTCCATTCCACCAAGACGCAGCGTACCAAACGGTTCGCCCACTCTAGCCCGTTGCCCCTCGTTCCACCCCCCTTTTCGTAACACGGCGCATCTCTTCCTTGTCTCAATCTTTCTTGCCCCCGTCGTCGACAGTGTCATGTGACGTCTTGACACGCAACGCAACGTGGATCAGCAATCAATCACACCCCACGGCCCAAAACCGCACCAGGACCGTTTCATAGAAGGAGGGTGACCAGCTGCGAAGCCCACTCTGATCGTTGCCGTACATATCTCGCACACATTTCCCCTCACCGCTCCCCCCCCCCCTCGATGACGACGACGGCGACGACGACGTTTCAACATCTTTCGACGTTCCAAACTTCTCTTGACAGTTCAAGAACCATCCCCCCCTCTTCATCGTTACCTCACACAACCTAAAAGAAGTGATAATAATCCTCTTCTTTGTGTGAATTGAACAACCCCTATCCCAATTCAAAGCAAACGAACAATCATGCTTGCCACTCCAGTTCCCACCCTCTGTGTAGACAGCAACGCTGCTGCTGCCGCTAGCCATGCCCAGGCCCATCGCTTCGAGAGTCTCGTCTTGGACCTGAAAGCCGCTCTGGGACCGTCGTCAGGTCTAACTTCGGACGATATCGATGTCGGGTTCCTGACCCGGCTGATGAGGGACTATGACAGTTCCGACAACCAGTGGTCGAGGTATGCGTTTGGCGACCGCAGTCGAGGATACACGAGGAACCTTGTCGACGAAGGCAACGGCAAGAGCAACTTGGTAAGTAAAAGAGTCTTCGGCACACTTGTGTCTTTTCGTTTCATCTTGTATAGCATTGTGTGTGCGTGTGCGTGTGCGTGTGCGTGTGCATGTATGTTATCCATCCACATACTGACCTCAGTCTCTTGTGGTGAATAGCTGGTTCTTGTATGGACACCAGGCAAGGGAAGCCCCATCCACGACCACGGCAATGCCCACTGCCTCATGAAGATCCTGCGAGGAACCCTGACCGAGACTCGATACGAGTTCCCCAACGGCGACGACAAGGGCCCTATGAAGCCCATCTCCAAGAAGAACTATCAGGAGAACCAGGTAGCCTACATGGCCGACGAGCTTGGCCTGCACCGCGTGTCCAACGAGGGCAGCGACTTTGCCGTGTCGCTGCACTGTAAGACTCCCCTCTTCCTCTCCTTCCCCATCAAGTAGACACCCGTTCTCTCAGGAGGACACTTGTCTTTCCCTCGAGAATGAAATAAGTGAAGACTGACCTTGACCCCAGTGTATACCCCTCCCAACGTTGCCAAGAAGGGATGCAACATCTTCGAGGAAGGCACAGGTCGTAGCAGCCATGTGCCCACCTGCCACTACTACTCTGTGTATGGCCGCCTAGTTAAGGAGCAGGAGCAGCAGCAGCAGCAGCAGCCGCAGTGAAGGCAGACGGGGAAACGAATGCATAGGCAAGACCTGCCATGGTGGAGAAGAAGGGCGTTTCTTTTTTTTTCTTCTCTTTTCCTTCTTCAGCTGGGATATATCAAGTGTGGCTTTTGTAGTTTCGGATCCGTTGAGTACTCATGTTCTTTTGGACTCTCGCCTCTCTCTTGCTGTTAGTGAAGCCCGCCTTGAACCTTGAAGTCTTGTGTCAATAGCATGGTGTGCGTGCTCTGTTGGTCGAGCCGCCGACGTGCTCTTTGGGCTAGGGGCTGAGGGCCGTGTATGGAGGCTACTGAGGGGAGGGGGGGTATCCATCCCTGAATAGACCAGACAAGGAATAGTACTGGAGAGTATATAGAAGCAAATGGGAAATTGTGTGCCTTGAGAAAGAAATGAGAAGAAGAATGGTGAGGGAGGAAAAGGTGAGGAGAGAAGAGAAAGATGAGGAGCTGCTGCCCGCTTTCTCAAAGACTGGATGTCGCCATGATTATGGCTATATTCCTGCCGACATCCGCCTCTGGCATTGCGTGATTACGGCTTTTCCCCAAAAGGCTTGGCTGATCCAGTTTGTATGCTGAGTCACTCAGTTTAAGGCCTTGGCCAACTCTTGGGCTCTTGGGCTCTTGGGCTCTTGGGGTATCAATAAAATGGTTACTATATCGTCCTTTATTTTATTCTGTATTTCCTAAACATAGGCCCCTTCCCGTGCGTTTCCAACCATCTCAGCCTGTCCCGCGATATGTCGTATTACCCGTAGCATGTGGTGATATTACTCAATGGTATACTAGTACATGTACTTCAATGTGGTGGACAGCAAAAACCACAACACATATTCGCCCTGTATACATGAGACAATGAGGAGTATTACCCCAAAACCCTCCGAGGCCCGCCAATTCTTCATGCGGCCACCGGGTCTTGCTACTTGGACCGACAGACGCTGCCGTTGTCCGACTGTTTGGCCTATCCAGTCACGGAGTAATAATACCGATATTGATCCTCGTAGCAGGGGAATGGATCGAATCACGTGACGTCGCGTGGTTCAGACGAGCGTTTTACCGACACTATTCCGCTGCTACGTCCGACAGTTCCGTTTATGAGGGACATCTCTGATCGGACCGGAATAACCAATTCCGTACCTTATTCAGCAGTTTGTCCCGGCACGTGTAGATTACGTAGTAGCGTGAGAAGGATGACAGAAGGAAGGTCCTTCATTTTGGATTCTACAGATTACATTCTTCAGGTTTCCATTTACGTCTCTCTTTACGAGTGTATATTGTCGTGAGCACCTGATGGATCATTCAAGTGAATTTGACACTGCAGTAATAACTACCCAGTTCCTTGCTTTCTTTCCCCCCCCCCCTGATAGTGTCAAAATTAGCCTATAAAGCCCTCCCCTTCAGCCGTAGAGTGATGAATGTATAGTGCCGACCAATCTTGCCAGGCCCTGGTGAGGAAAGGGTCAACGCGATCGCGTCACGGTCTTAGACTCTCGGTAGCCAAGCACCAAAGACAACCCCATACTTACTATACACCCCTGATTCATAGGGCTGGACTCCACACATTTAGATCTTTACATACTACTGATAACGGTACCCGCTCTCGCTTAATCCAGCCAACCTGAGAAAGGAGCATTGACCCGCTCCTATCGTCATTGTTATGCCTCCCGCTAAACGCCATCTTGGGTTCATCGACCTCACCGGCGATGACGATAACTCCAACCCTCCGAAGAGGCAGACGCCAACACCAACGACATCGGAACTCTCCAGGGCACCGTATCGATCAGAGGCATACTCCCTTCCTGCCAACCCTCATAATGTTGCTGCCTTTGGAACTTCGCAGGATGATGCACAACATCGACGACCTGCTGCCTACACGACACAGACGGTGGAGCCGGATGCATTCGATTTGACGCAAGATGATGACGGACCGCCTAGTGAGCTGTACTGTACTCTCGGTCAGCTTCATTCTCCCTTCTCTGTCTCTTTCTCCACCCTCCTATGACTCTGGTGCTAATCGATTGGCAGAATGCAAGATTGTGGGTATCAGATTCTACAATGGATATGCCTGTCCTGGCGAGATTGTGCTCTGCCAGAGACAAGCCGACAATCAGGTATATAGCCACGCCCGCGAAACTGTTCGTTTGGGTAGAAAGACACTCGGTTGATATTTGTAACGACGCATAGTACGACTCGAATGCCATACGTGTAGATAACGTCATGGGCCACCAGATCGGTCACCTACCGCGCAAGCTAGTTGAGAAGCTCGCGCCTTATATTGTAGGTCTCCTGATGCGCTTCTTCAGGACCACATCCGTCATTTTGTATGGACAGAATGGCTGATTAGATCCCAAGGACCGAGGGGACATCACCCTGGAAGCCCAACTCACTGGCGAAAAGGGAATGTTCGAGTGCCCGGCGAGGCTGGGCCTGTATGGCCCCAGCGATGTCAGACGTCGTGCCTCCATCGAGGCCTCCCTGAAGAAAGACAAGCTCGCCAGGGCGACGCAGCTTAAGAAGACCAAGGCCGAGATCGACAGGAAGCGCATAGTGGGCCTTCATAATGGCGGGTCCACCGCCGGCTTCATGCCCACGGCCACAGAAGCCGATGCGCAACAGGCAACCCTGTCCGTCGAGGAGCTCGCCAGGATTAGCGAGGCCGTCGACATGAGGCAGGGAGACAGTGACCGGTTCAAGGCGCTGGCGATGGGTGAGAAGGAGCTATCCAGGATGCCGATGGGTGTGCAACCCCCGCAGCTCAAGTCGACTCTATTGCCGTATCAGCTTCAGGTATACCTTTTCCCTTTTCCTGCCTTTTCGTGCGCTATTACCCATCGATACATATGTAAGGGCACGGCGTGACTGCTGACACTTCAAAAAAACAAATAATAAGGCCCTGTACTGGCTGATAGAAAAGGAGGACCCCAAGTTGCCGGAGAGGGGTTCATCCGACACAGTCCAGCTCTGGAGACACCAAGCCAATGGACGTTACCGCAACGTAGCAACCGACTACTGTCCCATCAGCCCGCCCGTGCTCCTCTCCGGCGGTATCCTGGCCGACGACATGGGACTCGGCAAGACGCTCGAGATGATCAGCCTGATCCTGACGCACCCCGACGGCCGCAGCGAAGACGGGCCCACGCTCATCGTCGCCCCCGTCAGCGTCATGAGCAACTGGGAACAGCAGATTCGTCGACACGTCCTGCCCGACCACCAGCCCCGCGTCATCGTGTACCACGGTCAGAAGAAGCCCCCGCCGGGGACCAAGCTGACCGACTATGACGTCGTCATCACCAGCTACGGGAAGCTCACGACCCTCGACCCGGCGCTGTTGTCCGCCGACGTCGAGTGGCGTCGCCTCGTTCTCGACGAGGGTCACATCATTCGCAATGCCAAGACGAAGATGGCCCTCGCTGCGTGTAGAGTCAGGGCTAAATCTCGATGGGTCCTATCTGGAACTCCAATGTAAGCTCTACCTATCCTTTCCTTTTCATTTTTATTTATTATTTATCATAGTTTTAATTTCTCTTTACCTCCCCCCCCCCGTCTTTTTTTTTTCTTTCTTACTTTTCCCACCTCCTTTCGTTCACTCGTGTGTATGTGTGTGCGCAAGTCTGACCAAAAGAAAACAGCATCAACTCCGTCAAGGACCTCCACTCCATCATCAAATTCCTCCGCATAACGGGAGGAATAGAGAAGCTCGAAATCTTCACCACGGTGGTGACGCGCAAGTTAGGAGACGGCTCGGGCGTAGGGGAAGCTCTCCTCCAGGGCATCATGCGTGACCTGTGCCTCCGTCGTCGTAAAGACATGTCCTTTATCGATCTCAAGCTCCCCGAGAAGAAGGAGTTTATTCATCGCATCAGCTTTCGGGAAGAAGAGAAGCGAAAATACGATGCTCTACTGTATGCCGTCCCTCCTCTTCTTCGCCTTCATCTCGACTGACAACGACCGCAGAGCCGAGGCCAAGGGCGCCCTCGAACAGTTCAACTCTGCAACCGTAGCGGCAGATAAGTCAAGGGGTCGCTTCACCAATGTCCTAGAACGGCTTCTCCGTCTTCGTCAGATGTAAGTCTCCTTCTCCTTCTTTTCTCCCTGTTCTAAACTCTGACACTCGCACCACCCCCCCTCAACAGCTGCAATCACTGGACCCTGGCCAAAAATAGGGTAGATGAATTGATGAAGCTGCTCTCCTCGGACGGCGATGTCGTCGAGCTGACAGACAAGAACCGCCGCCTCCTTCAGCAGGCTCTGACCCTGTACATCGACCAGCAGGAGGACTGCGCCATCTGCTTTGACGGTACCACGTCCCCCGTCATCACCCACTGCAAGCACGTCTTTTGCCGCTCGTGCATCACCCGCGCCATCGAGCTCCAGCATAAGTGCCCCATGTGTCGAAACCCACTCGACCAGAGTCAACTTCTAGAGCCTGAGCCTGAGTCATCATCATCCCCCGATGCAGCAGCAGCAGCAGCAGCGGACCCCTTTGATCCGGAGATGCAGAGCTCCAAGACGGAAGCGATGCTGCAGATCGTCCGCGCCACGGTGCAGAAACCGGCCTCCAAGATCATCATCTTCTCCCAGTGGACCTCCTTCCTCAACATCATCCAGACCCAACTGGTCGCCTCGCGCATCAAATGCGCCCGCATAGACGGGTCCATGACGACCGACAGCCGGGACCGGGCGGTCGACGCCCTCGACAACGACCCCGACACTCGTGTCCTGCTCGCCAGCCTGGCCGTCTGCAGTGTCGGTCTCAACCTCGTCTCTGCTGATACCATAATTCTAGCAGACAGCTGTGTGTTCCACCATCTGATTGCTCATGATGCCCACCGCCCCCTTTCGAAACAGAGCACTGACAAACAAGACATAGGGTGGGCCCCCGCCATCGAGGATCAAGCCATCGACCGTGTCCACCGTCTGGGTCAGACGCGCGATACTACGGTGTGGCGTCTCGTCATGGAGGGCACGGTCGAGGAGCGCGTCCTGGATATCCAGCTTGAGAAGCGCAAGCTCGTCGACAAGGCTTTCCAGGAGCGGAGGGGCGCCAAAGAGGCAAAGACGACGCACGTCGCTGATGTACAAAGACTTCTCGCTTGATACCTTGTCCAGACCTTGTTCTTGCATTTCTATTGTAGTAGTATATTTTCACTAGGCTGTATCATTTTACCGATAACATCGTGGGAAAAGTGGGAGAGCTCATTCGTTTATGTATTTTTTTTTGAAGCGACCAATGTGCTAAACATATGTCCTTGTTATTTATATAATGTTTCGTGTTTCCTCCTTACCGATCTGCGCCTTATGCGTTGTACGTCTCTACCTGTCCTACTAGGCAGGTACGACCAGGTAATGATGTTCGTGATGATAAACGTGATGAAAAGAAAGCAAAATGCCACCGTAGTGTTACAAAGCCGACTTGGGCACGCAATCGGTCCAATCATACGTTAGCGCAGCCAACGGGCATAAGCCCAGCGAATCCTCGACAAAGCCTGAGCCTGGAACTGCGCGCCCCTGAGCTTGGACAGGTCAGACAGATCCTCGAGGAACTCCCTCTCGATTTCAGAAGGCATCAACCTGGAGGCCAGACTTCTGAGTGTCTGGACCTCACAGAGCAATAGGCCGTGGTGTGTGTAAGAGGGCATATTGTTATCAACGGGCGGCGCCTCGGTCAGAACACGATCAATGTTGCGGAGAACACGCACAGCCTGCTTGGCCGTCGTGCTCCTGCGTTGGCCAGAGCGTCCACCAAAAAGGCCACGGAAGTACTGGAGGAATCCTATCGACATAATGACTCCCGGCGTCAGACCGACGAGGCCAAAAACCAGCTCCTGGCTCTTCAAGAGGGCGTCGATGCCCGTCATGGCCACCTCCAGGTCAACCTTTGTCTTCTGCACCTGTATGAGGAGAGATCGGACGAGATCTCCACGGACAGCACCGACAAGCGGTTTCCTCAGATCCTTCTCAAAGGCCTTGAGGACCGGCGTCACATCACCTTCGGCTACTTTGGAACGGATCAGCGCAATCTGGTCTTCAGTTAGAGTAGATCCGGTGGCGTCGGCAAAGCGGGGGTTGTCAACGGCGAAATCGACAACCATGCGCTCCAGGCTCTCGCGGTCAGCCTTGAGGCTGTCCCGACTCATGATGGCAATCTCGCTCGACTGGTCGTGTCTGATGGTCTGTAAGACTTTCCGGGAGGGCTCGATAACCCAGTTGAACCAGAAATCGCGTGCCGTTGCGCCAAGGTTGGCAATCCAGTCGAGTATGTCGGCCTGGTGGTTAACAACGAGGCGGAGGATCGTGGTGGACGACACGGTACAAACAATGGCGGGTAGCCAGTAGCGGACAATGGGTGAGGGCTGCCCGTTCCTCCGCGTTATGTCCGCAATGGATTCTGCGTGCTGTGGGAGGATGTTATCGATAATGTGTAGCAAGCGACGGCCAAGGACGGCGGGGCGGTTAATGCTGCCATCAATATCCTCGACGTGGACGGAGAGTTCAGGGTCCTGTTCGACACCAGCAAAAATCTTCTCCTCGAAATCGGCAACGGATTGCTCGACGTGGCAGACCTCCTTCAGGACCATATCCATGAGGACGACGCTGCGTTCCACTGTCCCCTTGAGATCGCTGTGGTCTTGCACGAGTGCCTTGTCATCCTCCTGGACAAACTGGAGTCCTTCGCACATCAAGACACCCAATCCGCAGGCTGTGACCTCTCTCAGCTTTTTCATGGCGGCCTGCTTTCGTCGGGCCTCACCCCTGCAAAAGGCAACGGGGGAGAGGACCTTTCGCTGAATGTTGGCAAAGGACCTCTCCCTGATGCTGTCACGGACCAGGGAATAGAAGCGGCCCCAGCGCTGGGGGAGGAACCCATGCGCTATCGTGGCGAAGTAAGTTGGCGGCGGGGAATTGTGTGTGCGAGTCAGTGTTCTCTGAAATATGTCGAGGGACCAGGCATGGAAACGCCATGGTGACGTCTGGACCGTATAAAGGCTGCTATAGGCATAGGAGCCGAGGACTTCGTCCCAATACCAGATGTGATTGCTCAGCGGGGCTATATGGTCGAGAAAGCTGTTGAGGATGGCCCCATGCAGCTGGACGGCGGCCTTGCTGACGAGCAGCCACTCGATTTCTGTCTCATAAGGGCTCCTGACCGTGACCTCGGTCGGGTCAAGGTCAGATTTGTGGATCCCAGATCTGACGAGAAGTTGCCTGATGTTGCGCACCGGGAGGAGCGGCCGGGATGAGTTTGTGGCACTCAAAGACTTGACAATGCTGAGAAGCTCATCAAGGCGGGGGTTCGAGAAGGCGTCAGCAACAGCGAAGCCCTGCTGGTTCTCACCAGAGGCCGAGCTAGCCTCCTCGGACGATACCTCGGAGAGAACAGGGAGGCGGTCCAGGTAGGCATCCAAGCGCCGTATCTGACTATCAGATGGTCAGTACGGGTCATGGTACAACGATGGGTAAGCAATAGCGATCTGAGGAGCAACAGTCTTGAGCAGCAGGTCTCGTAGATTACCCTAGGGGAGAGAACAGATATGCCCAGCCCCCCGTTGTTCCTAGAAAATAAGGGGATGGGTGATAGAAAGACAGATGTTTCCTGTCATGAGTGGATTTGACTAGGAGTGACGTACTCTGCTACCAAAGAGGCCATGGCGGGAAGACTGAAGATCAACCCGGATGACAAAGGAACCGGGCCGGGGATGGGCAGGGTCGGTGGGGACCACCCGGAACGCCGTGGGAATCAATCAAGGGCGTCAGCCGGGCGGAAATGATTTGTGGCTCCACGAGACGATGGCCGGGTGATGCAGAAGCCGAGGGGGTAGGTAACAGGTATTGGTGGTCCGTGGTTGGCTTGCGTGTGCGTAGCGCGTAGCGCGAGATGTGCGAAGGTTTGTGTGTGCGTGCGTGTGTGTGTGTGTGTGTATGTGTGTGCGTGTGCGTTGAGAAGAGTCGTCGTATTCGGGTACACAAGGCCCGACAGCAAACGTCGGGGAAGAGCCAGGCAACCCTGGAGGTAAGAGGGGAAAATGGAAACCCGCTAATGGGTCATGCGTGGAAATGGGCCGAGTTGGACGGGGCACAGGCCGCAGAGCGACAAGCCAGAAGAATGTGGTCCCAGGGTTTGGGGTCTATGACACCACCAGAGAAGGTTGTCGAATGTTGCTGGGTAGCTGAGCTGACGTATGATGCCACACAAGAGATGAGCCGCGGCAGAGAAGAAGCAGAAGGGCAAAAAGAAGCCAGTCGGTCGGTAACACAAGAGTTTGGTGGAGCAAGAAAGCAAACCATGTACGGAGTAATCTGTACCGGTACCAGGGTCAGTCCTTCCCGTACTTGTACGAATACCTCAGCCAGTACTCGGCATTACGAGTAGTATTCTGCTGGGCTTGGGATCAAGAAAGTGACAGAGCAGATGGCAAATAAATACCAGCGCAGTAGTGAGTAATCCTCTGTACTCTGTAGCCGTCCGTACCTGTAATCTGTACATATTAGTGCGAGAAAAGAAACTGGGGGAATGGGGGGCCTGGAACGATCTCCATTGCCCCTGCCGCACATGGGCAGATATCACTTGTATGTACGAGTAAATGCTGGAGGCAGGTGCCTTGGCGCTCATGCGGGCTGCTCTTGCTTCTTGCCTCACCTTCTTGTCCGCTCTTGCTTCTTGGGTGAAAAGAGCTTGCTCTTTGGGTATCTGCGCTAGAGCTACGGAGAATAGCCTATTACCACCCGTACCTGCCTACTTGTTCGAAAGGAGAAACAGAGGAGAGCAGAGGTGGGAGTACGAGTACGAGACGTGTGTAGCGCTATTTCATCATTGAAGGGATTTCCGTCGTGTTCGTATTGCACCGCTATAGGTAGGTAGCTATCGCGCCGCTCAACAGCTGGTAGTCTGTAAGTCTGTAGTCTGTACGGCGTATCAATACATGCCATAGGTCGAGGCCAGTGGTTTAGTACACATGTACGAGTAGCCTGTAGGTAATATTAGCTGCCTGCTACTAGCTTACTACTACAGGTACAGCGCGTGCGTGCTCTGGCAATGTACATTAGTAACGGTAAGTGATACTCCGTGCAGGCGGGCAGATTGCAGTTATGCGGGGTGACATTATTCCCCGATTCCCATGCGTTCGTACTCGTATCTATGGGAGAATAGGAATAATGTACGTACGCACGCACACACTTCGCTAGTACCAACACACAACACACACACACACATGCAACACACAAATACAGTACAGTAAAGTTTTTTTCCCATTTCCTTAGCTTTGCACAACTCGTCGGCTCTACGTGCATCCGGACCTATGAACTGCACAAGATTAGTGGGTCTTCTAATAAGAAGGAATTGTGCGCCGACCCATGGTTGGTGGATTGTTCACTATCGCCACCTCAGAGTGGGCTGATCTGATCGATAACGCACGGAAGCCGGAAGGTGTGTATTGAACATGGACTCACTTTTTGCCTGCGCCCCCTTTGGCATGTCCCTGAGTCCCTGACTCCTGGGGCCTTTGGGCCTTGGCTCAACCCCCTTCCTCTCTGCATGGGACCTGGTGATTGCCCAATTTCCCGCTTTTGGTTCGCTGTGTACTACAGGGCCATACCGCGCCATACCGCCCCCATGACCACTGTAATTGGTCAGCCCACTTCCCAACTTAGCTGGTGCCCCCCCCCCCTTTACAACGCAGGGCCCTTTTCTTTATGATTATCACTTGTCTTTTTTTTTTGGTCTCCTGTTAATCGAGCTTTAATAAACCCACCCAAGACCCTTTCCCTTCCTCTCCTCCACCCGCCAGCATCCCTTCCAACCATCAACACACACAACCTCCGACGACCTAATTCACCATCCGCGGTCCAACGCCTCTTCAAAAACGACCTTCCTCCTCAGATAAAACACGACCTTCCTCCCTTCTCGGGTCTGTCACAACCCAAATCGGCAACCATGGAGGTGGTGTGAGTGCTCACTCCCCTTGCGGATTCTCGGACAGCTGCAGCTACGCGACCCCCCGACGACGGAAGATCAAGATGGAACTGACCTGTGCAACGATATAGCAACGCGACCGTCGGTGCCCTCAACCAGACGCAAACCTACTTCGACGCATTCCAAGAAGTTTCTCAGTACAATGTCCACCTCAACTACTTTGAGCGCCTCTGGGCCGTACGTTCCTCCTCACAACTCGGACGCGATACCCCCGATGGCGCACGCGCAAATACCCGATATTTACTAACATGATTGCTTTTCTCTTCTACAGGCTTGGTACATGTACATGCAAAACGACACGCTCGCGACTGGCATCATGAGCTTCGTCATGCACGAGATTGTCTACTTTGGCCGCTGCATTCCCTACATCATCATGGACAGGATCCCCTACTTCGCCAAGTACAAGCTCCAGCCTCAGAAGATGCCCACACTCAAGGAGCAGTGGGACTGCGCCGCCATCGTCCTCATCAGCCACTTCACCGCTGAGCTCCCCCAGATCTGGTTCTTTCACCCCATCGCCACCTACCTTGGCATCGCCTACGACGTCCCCTTCCCCCCTGCCTGGAAGATGGCCCTCCAGATCTCGGTCCTCTTCGTCATGGAGGACGCGTGGCACTACTGGTTCCACCGCGCCCTGCACTACGGCCCGCTCTACAGGGCCATCCACAAGATGCACCACACCTACTCAGCTCCCTTTGGCCTTGCTGCCGAGTACGCTTCGCCCATTGAGACCATGCTCCTCGGCCTGGGTACCGTCGGAAGCCCCGTATTACTACTCTTCGTCACTGGTGACATGCACATGTTCACCATGTACGTCTGGATCGTCCTCCGTCTCGCCCAGGCTATCGACGCGCACAGCGGCTACGACTTCCCCTGGAGTCTGCGCCACTTCCTGCCCGTCTGGGCCGGCGCCGAGCACCACGATGTGCACCACGAGAAGTTTATTGGCAACTACGCCTCCTCTTTCCGCTGGTGGGACTACTGCCTCGACACTGAGGCCGGCGCCGAGGCTCACAAGCGCCGCCGCGAGAAGAAGCTCGCTCAGATCCGCTCCAAGAAGGCTCAATAGGTGACGATGACACTATGCAGGCATGGCTCTAACTATTAACTCGGAGCCTCACGTCTGACGCCTGTGCTCAACCGTCCCTGGCTAGTAATGCAAACTTTTGCATGTGAGAAGTATTTGGAATTGGAGATCGCTCTCTTGTGTGAAGAATGAAGAAAAGAAGAAGATATATTTTCCTGATATAATTACTCGACCATCTAGGAAGGGACACAATCAGGAAAGTGTGATGCCAGCATTTAGGGCGGCGTTTGTTTGAGTGTGTGCTGTATTGCACTCGAAGTTTCTATTTTATTTTTTAATTTTTCAGATGTTTTTTTCTTGTACATGGACGGGCACTGGTTTGTTTAGGTGGTCCCGACCCTCTATTTTGGGAAGATATATATATATATATATATATATAATTAGACTCAGCGTCATCTGACTTTTTGTTTGTACATTTTTCTTTGGTACAGTATTTATTTGGCAATGTGGTTGTTTCCAAGCTTCCGGGACAAAACGTGATACCGGCGGCTTTAAACCTGGCACCCTGGATGATTCAATCGACGATGACTTCAACTCACAGTTAGACTCGTGACATGAGACTATCACTATCACCCGCGACAACGCTCATCAGTAGGGGCCGCCGCAGAACTCAGCCGCTCTTCTTGGGAATGCAGCAATCCCCGGCTGAAGTGGTAGCCCTATCGGCCACAGAGCGCACCTCGCAGCTTACAGGCTCGGGCTCCAGCTCTCCAAAGTCCCTGGCGATAGAATCACACGCGGCAGCCAACTCCAGGTCCTTGGTCGACAGGCCCTTGGGGTGATGCGTAGTCCATCGAATAAAGGCTGTATTGTAGACCTTTTTTTTTGGAGGGGGGAGGAGGAACTTCAGGTTAGCTGTGAGGTAGTCTTGAAGTTCTGATACCGAGAGAAACTCTCTCAAGGTGTGCAATCATGTATCTTACATTTGACCATTCGGGATGGTGATTCTTGACTTTACACTGAAGTGAAACAGCCGTCATGAAGTCCTGTTTCCTTGCGTGAGTGAGAGTCAGAGAAGGGGATGAGTGAGATTCGAGGGAAGAAGAAGAACACACCCATGTCTTGGCAAACGTCTTGAATTTAAAACTACGCTCCAGAGCTTCGCCCTCATTCGTGAGTGTCCAGTGTCCACTTAGGAGACTGTCCAGGGACGAAGAGGCAGATGCCTCTTCCGTCCCCTCGGAGAAGCGAGGCTTCTGGGTGGACGAGGACATGGCGCGCGCAAGGGGCGTGATGGCGATACGAGATGTTGCCGTCGCTGCTGCTGCTGCTGCTGCTGCTGCTGAGGTTGGGGATAGACTTGGCACGGAGTGCAGTTGTGACGACTTGAAGAGGCGAAGCATGCCGTTGCACGTTGGGCGAAGCAACTATATCTTGAGTAGATGAACGAGAGATGGATTCAGGTGAAGAAGCCTTACCTACAGTGCCATTTCCATTTACAGGAGTAATACGTGTGTCGCAAGTCGGGGATGGTGTTTTCTTGAATCCTCCTCCAATTGCTAGTCACGTGCACCACCCTGCCCAACGCCTGGCCCTGCGTTCAAAGCTACAAGATAGAAGAATAATGCTCGACTTCTTCTCATCAAGTATCCCTCCTTCTTTCTGCAAAGATGCCTATCTTTCCCGTACGACGCACTCTCCTGACTCCTGCATCGCCGGCCGACTAGTCGTAAGAATATTTGACCGATAAGCGGCACGCGGGAACGGTCTTTCGTGCCTGGCACCCAGCTCGCGCAAATACGTCCAAGAGATCGAGCTTTTTTTCTAATGTCTGTGCCGAGGTGACGGTTCTCCCCTTATCCGCGATGACGGCTCTCCGTGAAGAACCTGGTGGCCTTGGACCTCTAGACGGCTCTTATAGAAGAGCGACATATTTTTTCTTGTCTGGTCGGCAAGTTGGCTATCTCGGAGGTGCCATGGATCCATGACGTGAAGCTACGTCATCAAACTGTTGTCCCGTTGTCCGCTTTCTGGTATTACCTACGGCCTCATCGTCGGCCCTATTTCACAGTAACCAGAGGGAGGGGGGAAAACGATGTATTGCGAAATGTGCTAGCATATTCGCGGAGACGAGTTGCATCATCCACACCTGGGGACATTTGCATGGACCCGAGACTGCATGAATGATCCAATCGGGGTTTGCATTATTCTGAGGTAGGCAGGTAATATTAGGTATCGATATTGATTACATAACTGTCTCCATTCATGTGTATGAAAAGAGGTGCTTCCAACGCCTGCCAGAGGAATAAAACAGCAAAAAACCCCAGATGTAATGTCACGGACGGGCTCGGGGTGCAGGTAGGACGGTGACATGCTGGACGAACCGGTATATTGCTCCGGACAGGCACTACCGAGGTAGCCTGGAGGTCAGGCTCTCTATACAAGACGGTAGCTCATCAGAGCTACGTTCAAGAGTAGAAGCTATCTCTCTTGTGCGTCTGGGCCTACGATAAGATCATGACGCCGCACGCCACTCTCTTTAGGTGACAGATATGCTCGTTGATCTGGTGTAGGCTGATTGATTATTCTTCTCTCAACTCCTCTCAGACTCCCTCCCTCTCCCCCCCTCTCTCTCTCAATAGGAAGTGGAGGGGTAAGTACACTCCCACAGATCCGGGCCTTCAGTCGGCCCGTGGGGCTCGGATTTACTCCGGAGTCACACTCATGATCGCAGATCTAGGGGGGTCCAAAACGTGAGGAACTGACGTCCTATATTGGCATCGTAGGATTCTGTCTATGCATTTCGCACTTTTTTGGACGTTCTCGATAATAATGGGCGTTTTTGCAACGTTCTGTCCATAATCAATAACAAGTCCGCTGTACCCTGTGTTTTCATATTCCATATAACCGACCTGCTGCATTATCATGCATTCATCACCCAAGGATGCAGTCTTCTATATTTCGGTGGCTGCCGTCCATCTTCATGCGCGTCTCCGGCTTGTTCAGAAGCTGTGTCAGCTACGTGGCGGCGCGGGGCCTGCAGCACACAGCGCGGCGACGGTACTAACAATCGATCCACCAACGTCTTCCCGTTCACGAAAGAGCAGGTTGGCGACTCTGTCTCTCAATTCTTGAATAGAGTGGATAGGTTGTCAAGGAGTTGCACACGGCGGATTCGATGTCTGCTTTCTTATGCGGCTGGACAACGATGATTCGGATCGGAATACATCGTCCGGATCCCCATGGCTCCTGTCGTCATTTCCTCATGGGAAAAGATGCAGAGTGAGATTGCAACAATGCGGTATGGCCTTGCCTATAAGATCATCCCTTATAAGATGGAGCGGGAAGCAGTGGTCGATTCAGGGTTGAGTCAGACTCGAAATGCACACAGGTCGAGCGACCGCTGCAATCTTCAGAGCACTCACTATACGAGTACACAGCACCTAGAATACGAGGGTCTGATCATCGAGGACGAAGCGAGTATTCGCAGGAGAGAGTGGACTCTAGAGTCTAAAGGAACAGAAGTATCTTGAGTAGAAAAAACGAGGCGAACAGTAGGCTCATGCTAAGAATAGCATTACCACAGCATCAGTCTGCAACAGGCCCCGTTTACATACCCGCAAGTCCCATCGATGCGTACACTAGTGACGACCCCGAGCTTTCTTCTCCTGTTCCCTAAGCTCCCCAAGCTTAAGCATCAGACATGCCAGCTTTTTATCGCTGTTAACAAGGTTTGATCGTAGCTGATCTGCCTGCTTGGCCATGCTTATCGTGTCGGCTATTTATGTCTCGTTCTTCCCTCGAAATAAAAGCAGATCTATCAGGTACATGTCCTCTTTTGCAACTTCTTCTATCCGGGTACACTGCCGGCCGACCACTTGGGCGAGCAAGTCCGACTGATAGGGGTGCTCAGCAGCTCAACAAAAAGACACGTTTTTTGGACCCGACCGATGTTTTTGCCTCCCTGGGGCTTGCAAATGTGAGACGTGAGAGATGGAGAGATTGAGGCTTATAGTCGGAATCACAATCACGAAGTGGTAACACGAATGTCTATGATTCATCCAGCCAGATAGTAAAAATAGTAACCTAGAAGTAAGAGAGCAGGAGCAAGAGAACAGGTCAGGTCAAACCAAGGCGAGACCAACACGGAACGCTCGGTATTCCATATCCAGGTCACGCATTTGAGGGGTAGATGAGAGACAGAGAGGATAATGGTAGGCGACTGCAGATAAGCCACGTGGAGTTCTTTACTATTCTATTATTGATGTTGCGAGAATATAGTCCACGGAATAAGTCTTCGACCCGGGTTGATCTCACCCTTCAAGTTAATAAACATTGACATGTTCAGTCGGAAGTATGCTGCTTGATGGTGGTAGACTGGTAGTAAGTACTAGTAACCACTGAACTCCAGATGAAACATAGCACGGAGTTTATAGGAGCAGCTTAAACCCCCTCCCCTCAAGGTGCCAAGATATCCACTGAGAGCCTACATGTAAGAGTAAGAGACTGAATGGAAGTATTGAGAGATGGCGCAATCGTGGTGTTGCTGTTGCTGTTGCTGTTGCTGTCTCGACGACCTGATGCACCAAATGTACGGGTATGTACATGTGATATGCCATGTACATGCGATATGCTATGTACATGCTATGCTATGTACATGCGACTATTCGTACGTAATACTCGTATACATGTGCGTGTACAGAGTATTATTCTCGTACGAGTCGAATGAGATCCAAAGCAGAAGGGGATCAGAGGCTCCACCTCCATGCAGGTGCTTCATTATTACTAAGACCTAACTTCCTTATGTAATTAAATGCGTCCTGAGCGCTGATTGGACTCGTCACACCAAGCTGCATGCAGTCACACCTTTTGCTGACAAACCCAAACTCAGCAGGGAGAGGAGCGACCGGCCGACGACCGGCGACGGGGTGTTGCTCCAATAGACGTACGCCCCTCTCCCCCCCCTCTCCCGTCTCTCGCTCCTACCTTTCAGTTTCCCCTCCCCCGTCTGTCACGTCTGGCTGGCAATTACATAAGCCCCTCGGGGGAGCTACCCAAACCGCTTGCTGTTGTTCCCGTTCTCCGTTGTCCCCCCTCCCCTCATATTTGTAGTCATCATCGCCAGCGCGCCCATTATAATTTGCCTTGTATGAATGCTGAGTCAGATCAGTTGCCATCTCTGTCTCTCTGACCATCGCGAACGACATCTCCCGCCATGCAGTCGGCGTCTGCGGACCCTATCTCCAACTCTCAAGGTGAGTTTTTTTCCCGTGGAATTGTTCCCCCTTCATTTGCCCTGCTTGTTCACAGTCGTCGTTGTCGTCGTCGTCGTCGGCTTGGGCTCTGCGAAACGAATTGAGAGCATATCACCACTCCACGACGCGCCCTCACTTATTACCCTTGTCCAAGTACAAGCTTGATGGTGCCATGCTCGGCGCGCGCGCATTTCACTACCACTACCACTATTGAGAGGTCAACGCGACAACGTCGTCTATCGCTCATCTGGAAAGGGCGCGCGTGTGCTCTCTCGTTGACGCGGGGTTGTCGCGACAGCAATGATCTGAGTCGTCTCACACATATATACACATACACACCACACACACACATACACACATACACACACACATACACACACACACACACACACATATATATATATATATATATACATATATATACTTGATACACCCATATATATGTATCCGATTGCTTTACTGTTGCCGAAATATGCGCTGACCCTTTGCCAGAGCAAGACCAGCAATTGCGCGCGCAGGTTGAGCTCTTGCGAAACCACGACACAGGAAGCGCGTCACACTCTCCAGACGGCAGCAAACGTGAGCCAGTTACGGGTGAAGTCACAACATCGGCATCTCCAGACGTATTCGGCGCTCAGCAGCAACAGTCGACGGTACCACCCGCGGAGCAGCCCCAAGGAAACACCAACACGGACCGTCGCAACCTGAACGCAAAGACCGAGCCCGAATCATTCATCCACCCCGATCTTCGCGCCGCGCATGGTCACACCCAGGTCTCCGCCAACATGATGCCTATGGACCCGCCGACGGGCTACAGCCCGAGCTCTTCCAACCAGTCTCCCCCGCCCAACCCAGCAACCCTCCAGAACAACCACCCTACTCAGCAGCCTCCTCACCATGCCGGCAACCTGGCTCCTGCGCCTCCGCACCCGCCCCTTCCCGGAGCCGTGGACCCCGTCTCGCCAGATGGTCGAGTCAGGCCAAAGAGGGAGCTCTCGCAGTCTAAACGCGCTGCGCAGAATCGTGCTGCTCAGGTATGCGCATCCCCTTCATGAAGGAGAGAACCGTCCCCCAACGTGTCCATGTCACGAGTGTGGGCTGACAAACGTGCCCTCATCCAGAGAGCTTTCCGCCAGCGAAAGGAGTCATACATTCGACAGCTGGAGCAGGAGAACAAGACACACCTGGAAATGGAGAAATCATTCAAGGCGGTGCAGTCGGAGAATTACGCGCTGCGCGAGTACGTCATTACCCTGCAATCGAGGCTCCTCGAGGTCCAGGGCGACTACCCGCCGGCACCGCCAAACATCAACCTGACGCAACCTCACACTGTTGGCGGCGAGCCATCGAGGATCAACGACCAGCAGCAGCAGCAGCAGCAGCAGCAGCAGCAGCAACTCCAGCCTCCGCCACCTCCACCTGTACAGCAGGCACCTGCTCCCAGCTCGGGTAGCACGCCCCTCGAGGCCGTGGCCCGCGCCGTGGCCGGCCTCGCAGCCCAGGAGCAGATGAACCAGCACCATCAGCATCAGCACCAGCACCAGTACGACGAGGAGATGAAGGACGACGACCAGTCTGCCCAGGACACGCGGACCGCCGACGAGATCAACCGTCACCTGCAGCAGGCTGCCGTCGCCGGCGGGGACGCAGATGCCGACCGCGCACCGGATGTATAGGCCAACTTTGAAGAGAACGAGAAGCCATCTAACCTGGCTGAAACGAGGCACTTGAGGGAATGACGGCACATGAAGAGCACTTCTCCTCTTCTTCCTTTCTCCAAGTGCAGCGAATGACACCGACTCTTCGCTCCTCATGGCGTACTGTCGGTGTTTTTGCTATGATGTTTTTTCTTCTATCTCTTCGTTTCTTTTTCTTCTATTCCTGTGTCACTTCCCCATGCTATTCTACTGACTACCCGGGCTGTTTCTTGTCATTTGGGAGGACGGTGCGTGTGGAATAATGGAGAAGGGTCGAATTACGGGCGTTTTTCTTCGTTCTTGATGTATTGTGCTATTCCTGTTTGCTATAATGGAGGCTGTTTGTTTCGTTTTGTTTTTGTCTTCTTTCTCCTTCGTTCTTACATTGCTCTTCTCTATTTTCAGTAGTATCACTACTCGTTATTTCTTTATTTACTATTGACTCCGTCGTTGAACCGTGGTGGTACGAGGATGAATGAAGGAGATTCTCTCCCCCCACCTCCCCCCCCCGGGGCCAAGCAGGATCTGTCTTGTATGCCACTTTTTTTGAGATTTCAAGAAAAACATCTTATCTTGGTATTTTTCTTTCTCTCTTCAAGGACCTATTGCGTTTCCATCACCGAGTAACAAGAAAACAAAACTCCCACCCGAATGGAATGATAATTTTTTTGGAATTGAAATAAATTACAAAGACTCTTTCTTTTACACAAACGCGTTGCCCATGTTGTGTTCCTGAAATGATTGTTAGCAAAGGTGGTGGGGGGAAACACGAAGGGGAGAGAAGAGGAGGGAAAGGAAAATAAGAATGAGAAAAAGGAGAAAAAAATGAGGCAAGAGAGGGAATAGAGGAGCTGACCTTGATGTACTCTGCGCCCTTCTCCTGATATTCCTGCCTAGAAATGGTAGCAGCCTTCCAGGCGTCGGATCCGACCCACTGGGCGGCACCCCTCCAGGCGTCGTTGAGGGGGTCGCCCGCCTTGCGGACGGCGAGGGGCGCGTGTGTGGGCAGCAGGGCCCTCAGCTCGGAGCGGATGCGGTCGTCCAGGCCGCGGAAGAGGGTGGCACCTCCGGTGAGGAAGACGTCCCGCACAAAGGTGTCGTGGACGGCGTCGGCGCTGCCCACGGCGGCGGCGAGCCTCTGGTTGAGTATGTTGCCGGCTATCTCGACGAGGCCGGCCTGGTCGACGCCGGCGATGGAGGGGCGGAAGAGGACCTCGGGGACGCGGATGCGCTCGACGTTGAGGTGGACCTGGCTCAGCTCGGCCTGCGAGGACGGGTCGAAGGGCCGGGGCCCGCGGGCGAAGGCGTGCAGCAGGCTGCGCGACCAGTCGGACTGGGCGTCCAGGGTCTGCTCGTAGTCGAAGTGCGGGTCGTACCGGAGCAGGTCCCTCTCCAGCGCGCGCAGCGTGGCCTGCAGGTCCTCCTCCTCGTGCTCGTCGTCCGAGTTCTCGCCCACGGCGATCTGGCGGTACACGCCCCAGTCGTCGTCGTTGGCGCCGAAGTCGTCGTCGTCGCCGCCCCGGCGGCGCTTCTTGGCCGGCGCGTCCGACGCCAGGTTGGCAATCTCCTTCATGCGCATCTGCGACGCCAGCGACTTGCGGTTTCCCAGGTCCTGCTTCAGCCGGTCGCGCTCGCGGATCCGAGCCATGACGTCGGCCCGCTCCTGGTGCCGGTCCTCCAGCCAAGCCGCCAGGTCGTTCTCGCGACGCTCCCGGTCCAGACGCTCCTCCTCGGCCACGCGCGCCTTCTCCGCCTCCTTCTCCGCCTTGGCGCGCGCCCGCGCCTCGTGGTTCGACTTGAGCAGCCGCTGCTGCCGCTTCTGCTTGATCTGCGCCTCGTCCAGCTCCTCGTCCGCCACCTCGAGCAGGCTGAAGTCGGGTGGGGCCTCGTCGTTCTCCTCCGGGTCGCCGCCCAGGTCCTTGGTGCGCGCCTTCTTGACGTTGCGCTCCAGCTCGCGTATCATCTTGTCCAGCTCCGCCTCGTCGCGGATCTCGTGGCTGTCCAGCTGCCGCCGCGTCTCCTTCTTGGTCTCGCCCTCGAGCCGCGCCTGCAGCCGCCGGTAGTACTCGAGGTCGTTCTCCTTCTTCATCAGCCGCTCCAGCCGCATCTTGGCCGCCTGCTCCTGCAGCCGCCGCCCGCTCTCCTTCTTGCGTTCGGCGATACGCTCCAGCTCCTCCTGACTCTTCTGCACCACCACCTCCTCCGTGAAGGGGTACTGCATCACCACGTCGCGGTCCTCCAGACCGGTCCAGTCCAGGTAGCTCGCAACCTCGGTGTCGAAGTCCTGCGACACGTAGAAGTGGTCCTTGATCATGTGCTCCGCCTGCGACACGTTGATCTTGCCGGAGAAGGCCGGGTACTTGAGCCGTATCAGCTTCAGGAGGTACTCGGCCATGTGATAGCCGCCCCAGTTCAGCCGCGTGGCCTGGCCCAGCATGGCCTTGCTGTCGTAGACGGGTATCACGTGCGTGGCGCTGTACGACGAAGACACCACCAGGCCCGTGCTGCCCTTGTTGTATCGGTACGAGAAGAGGGAGTCGATGCCGTAGGCTACCGATGGTGCGCCGTAGCATTCAAAGATGATTTCCGTCATGGCTGGTTGTGTGATGTCTGTCAGTACTCCGAACTTGCTCTGGGCGCGGAGGAAGATGTGAGAGGGAGAGGGAGGGAGGGAGCAGACATTTCCTCGAGTAAGGCAGGTTGGCAACAGCCTCGGTCATGACAATGGGCACATCGATGGCTCCTTCGGCGTCGTTCATGCCCAGCTTGAGAAAGGTGTAGTCGAGGACGTGCTCCATGACGTCCCAGTTGCTGACGATTCCCGTGCCGGCCTCGAAGGCGTTGCGGATGTGGCCTCGAGCCGTCGTGTCGGCGTAGCAGTCGGACCCAGCGAAGGAGAAGGTCTTGCCCAGCTTGCGATCACGATACTTAGCCATGATGGGCGGCAAGGTGAAGCGTGGGGATGAATCGAATGACCATCCGGCCCTGACGGCAGAAGATCCTGGTGGAGTGCGCGCCACGGTCAGTATGCTGCACTGCCGCTGCGCCGTCGAGGCGGTGGCCCGAGAAAGGTTGCGTGATGGCACTCACCATTATCAATGACAATGGCAGCATCGCCCCCTTGGTCGAGGGCTTTCCTGCGCCCTTCGGGTTGGGGCTCAATGTACTGCTCGAAGCGCGTCTCCTTGACGGGGAAGATGTTGGCGGGAGGGTACTTTTTTTCGCCGGGCATCTTGGCCTTTAAGGCGGCATCAGCCGGATCGTCGACGGCCGAGGGCGCCATGACTGCGATGTGCGATGTGCGATGTGCCGATGTGCGTGTGCGTGTGCGAGTAATATGCGGGTTTTCGGGGTTGAACTTTGTAGGCCTGGTAGTTTGTGGAGGTAGCTAGCGAGCGAGCGACGGCGGCTGAAGCAGATGATGTCGATCACGAGATGGGGCGCGAGGTCATTGTTGCCGGGTCGAGTGATGGGCTCTTCTGTGACCAAGAGATATGGAGAAGAATGGGAAAAGCCGACGCTTGGTGGGATGAACTGATTGGGTTGTGCGGTGTCGGCGGTTGGCGGATCTGGTGTTGCCTTTTCCAAGACGAGGCAAGGTGAGACAAGGCAAAGGGATATTATTATTTGTTACGACGTACGTACGACTCGGAGCACGTATTTTACTATTGAACTTGGCCGTACCCATTGATGGCTCCACGTGTGCTGGCGTCACGACACAGATACGGTGTTAGAAGGTAGACCACTAATGACAGGAGGCAGGATCAGGAGAGCCCCGATTCTCTTCGCGTCATTCGTTCATCCCTCTAGAAGCAAGAGAAGGAAGGAATATATACATGGAATCCCCATGACTCTGTAGAGCCATTGAGGGGGCGCGCACACGTCTCCGGTCCCAATACAAACCCCCATCCATATGCTGCTACACTCTACATCTCGTCGACAACGAGGCGACCCTCTATGCAGGTGGCTTGAGATTATCCGTCGCTAGAAAAGGAGTCATCAGCACGGCTGATTCTTCTTCTTCTTCTTATATGCAGGCATAATCAAAACTTACCCTCGAGGTGGAAGAGTACGTTGGACTGGTAATTCTTGAACATTTGCGCTACGAGCTCGACGTTCATGTTTTCGATGTTGATTTCCTGATTTTTTTTTTTGTTGGTATGCGTGTGTTGAGGAATACGGCATAACCGTAGGAGAGGAGAATGAAAAATACCTGTAGGCTCTTGTTCATGACGACGACGGCTTCGTTGAGCTTCTCCTAGAGCACGCAGAGTCATTAGAGACCTTCCAAGAGGCGGGGGGGGGGGGGGGGGGGGGAAGACTGACGACGTTGGTGATTATGCGGGACAGCAGGAGGTTCTGCTGGTGCTCATGTGGGCTCTCCTAGAAGCATCATTAGCGGTCATGACCCGATAGAGCGAGGCCTGGGAGCGTCTACTCACCATGATGGATCGGTGGCTATGATTGTTGATGTGTTGATTACTTGGTGTCTGCTTGCTCCCCGCTGGGAACATGTATGCTAAACTACGAGCATTGATACTTGCAGTGCTAACAGAGAAGCTCGAGGGCAACACACAGCGCACCTGTCACGTTGATGGGAGAATGAAAGGAAACCTCGATAGGATGTATAGCAGATGGGTAACTGATCACAATAATGAATATGGAATTATCTCGTATCATCAAGACTGCACGTCGGCATTGACTGTTCGCCTGCTCGTCATACCAAGGCCGACGTCACGTGCGGGCTTCGATCGTAGATTGGCGCAAATTGCTACGAGTACCAGAGTTGGAGGGAGGTCTAGGCGTCCTGAAATATCGCCTCTCCCATTGAGACCTTTGGATATCTAGCCAACAGACGAAGAGCAGAAGAAGAAGAAGAAGAAGAAGAAGAAGAAGAGAGAAGGGACGACTCATTACACACACCTACACACGCCCACACACGCCCACACGCATACATCCATCATGGCATCAGCATCAGGACCGACCGAGGCCCAAATCGCCCACCAGCAGCTCATAGAGCAACTCGACATCCACTCGATCCACAAGAACTTTCGCAACCCGAGCTGGCGTCCGAACCAGCGACGCAACAAGAACCTCAAGGCCGTGGTAGGCGAGGCTTCACGTCGCGAGGCCTCGGTCATGGCCACTCCCACCGGGAACGCGACACCACCGAGCCGACGCCAGACGGCGAACAGCAGGGGGGCGGACAAGGGCAAGGACGACGACGGCCTATCCACCAGCGGCGCCTCGACGCCCGCCAACGGCAGCAGCAACGGCAACAGCAACGAGGCACCCAACCTCGCACAAGCATCCAGCAGCCTATCCAAGCTCGTTCTGGAGAAGAGCCTGAACAACAACAACAACAACAACAACAACAACAACAAGTCAGCAGGAGGAGCCGCCACCGCCGCCCCGGTAGCCACGTACACCAACATCGAGTCGGCTCCGTCGCTGGCCCATCCCAGACACTACTGCGACGTGACGGGCTTGCCGGCCCCGTACCTCGATCCCAAGACACGCCTGAGATATCACAACAAGGAGATCTTTGGGCTCATCCGTTCGGTACCGCAATCCACGGCAGAGCTGTACCTCGAAGCTCGTGGTGCGCATACGGTGCTAAAGTGAGAGGCCCGGTGGGGAGGGGGGGAGTGTCCAGGGACGCAGACAACTTGTATCGTTACTGTTATTTTAATTCTTTTTTTTTTTTGTATCAAGATTACGAGAGAGAGAGAGAGAGAGAGAAGAGACTGTAAAAAGAATGTTTGACCAACAAAGTCAAGCCTCAACTATGCACCAGACTCCTCTCGGCGAATGGATGGTAGCATGACGCTCCGGCTTAATCGTGATCATGTTCTTCTCCGCCGGCGACAGATTACCGAGACTTGTTGGGGGGGTTTGACGAGTCTCAGTTGCGCAGAGTCTGTACTCTAACGCCGTCATGGCAGTTTTTTGAAGGGGGTTTGGGGTGTATAGTCACGTAGAAGGCGCCTCAGTCGGGGGTTGGGGTTGGGGTTGGGGTTGGGTTGGATCATCAGCAAAGTCAAAGAGTTACATGAAGTGGTAGAAACCCAGCTAATGAGAAGGGAGAAAAGAAAAGAAGATGGAGAAGATAGCAAAAAGAAGAGAAGCAGTAGCAGGATGCATGTTAGATTCCAATTCTCGGTGGTGAGCACATTATTCTTGCAAAATTTCGTTGCTGCTCAGTACCTTGGAAGAAGACCTGTATTAATACGGAAAGAGGTGTGATGTTGATGTGAGGAAAAGAAGAAAGTTTCTCAACTCGAGTACCTGAAGTCTTTTTTTTTTTTTTTTTTTTAATATAAAAAAAAAAAAATGGCCAGCAGCAGCCAAAGCAAGGCATTGTGGGCCCACCCATGCCATCGTCACCCCTCCACCAAATGTTGGACCCCAAGCTTCTTCTTTCAACCCCTTGCTTACTTTGTTACCACGACGTCGCAACACTTCCTCCCCCCCCCCAATCTTTTCTTTCAAGTTTTTTTTTTTTCCTTCAGTTTCTTCCTGTGTCTGTTCCTTATCTACACTTTTTTTTTCTTCCTATTTCTTCTTTCCCTTCCATATTGCAGGATTTATTTGTCGATCGCAATTTTCCCATACAGCCAAGTAACCTTGCCTATCCATCATCATGTCATCCATGTGGCTATCCGACACACAGAGTACGTCTTGCGCGGCGCGCGCGCACTCGCGTGCCCACCAAGCTTGAGAGAGAAGACGCGACAGGAGAGCTAACTGAATGTCTAACTAACAGAGGTGGGAGTCGTCTTCTGCTCCGGTGGTATGTTTTGATTCCTGGCAGGGAGGAGAAGCTCAAAAAGCCGACGCGACAACTAACGAGAATGAAAATGAAAAAAAAAGGTGGCTTCTTCCTCATCGGTGGAGTGATGCTCTTCTTCGATCGAGCCATGTACGTCTCTCTTTTCCTTTTTCCCTTCTGCCCATCTTACCAGAAGAAGGAACGCTGACAACGACACAGGCTCGCCATGGGAAATGTAAAAACGAGTCTCCCCCCTCCCCCCTCCTCCCATCGAACACTCGAGAAGCGCAGACGACGAAATGAGAAGAAGAAAACGAAGGACACGAAGCTGACCATCATCAGATCCTCTTCCTCATCGGCCTGACTATCATCATCGGTCCGCAAAAGACGCTCCTGTTCTTCGCGCGCAAACAAAAGGCAAAAGGGACGGCCGCCTTCTTCTCAGGTCTCATCCTGATCCTCATGCGCTGGACCTTTATCGGCTTCTTCGTCGAGGCCTACGGCATCGTCGTCCTGTTCGGCGACTTCCTGGGCACCATCGCCGGCTTCGCCCGCAGCCTCCCCGTCGTAGGCCCCTATGTCGGCATGGCTGTTGATCGTTCTGGTCTGGCACGTCGCAATGCAGATCTTCCCGTCTAGGTGGATGCCCACACACTCTTCTCACAGACTCTCTCCTTCCCGAACGAACGAAAAAAACGAACGAAAGCAACGACAGCCACACAGAGCCGTGCGCCGAGGGCACATGGTCAATACAAGAAGAAAATGGAAACGAAAAAAAAAAGGAAAATGTTCCCCTCCAAGAGAAACGAGAAACACACACACACACACACACACACACACACACACACACACACAACTTCAAAGCGACTGGGTTCGGCTAGATGGCGCAGGTGGGGATCGGAGTTTCCTCCTTCAAGGCTTCAGGGCAATGGCGTCGCGTCTGTTTCTTTTTTTCTCTCTTCTCTTCCCTTCTTCTCTCGAATACCAGTCCTCGATACTGGCAGGTATATACATATGACGAATGTAATGGTACTTTTTATTCATCTATTGCAGCATGTCTATTACATGGTACATACGTCGCCATCGAATCTTGGGACAACCTTGTCGACGTGCTGTATCGATATGCCCTGCGAGCCTGCGACATGAACCGAGACATGCATACTACTAGAGTAGTAAGTAGTACGCGTAGGTACTATGGGCAGTTGAGATCCCATTGCTTACGAGCACCTACTCGATACCATTATCCACAGGTGTATATGTACAACACAACATGTTAGGACCATAAGTAAAAGTAGTAATATATCTCTCATCCTTCGTCAAAGGAAGACCTCTTTAGATTTCATCTTCTATCCCTTCCGCCTAAGCTGTCGTCAAGCTCGCCAGGGCACGGCTGCTGTAAGCCGTCCTTGTGCTGGTGTGTGGGATCCCTCGCCCCCCTCCTCTTCATAGTCATGACAAGGCCATATTCTGGTTCTCTCTCTTTATTTCCTTTTGGATGTAATGATTTCTTTCTCTTTTTATATCCCCCTTCGTCGTCTAGTAGCCTAGTCCGATGAGGTAGTCGGCGAGACCCTCGACGGTCGAGTTGACGTTTCCGGCGACCTGGGCCTCTCCGTGGTGGCCGACAATGATGGCCTGTTTGGTCTTGGCGATGGCGACACCGGTGCGGCCCTGTCGAGTTGGTTAGCCGTGGGTCTTTACCCCGCAACTACGTTGCCGGCTCTCTCTCCCCCATCCCTCCCTCCGTAGAGGGAAACAAGGACGGGGGGCACGCAGACGGGGGAGATACGTACAGAGCGGGCGTAGATGCTGCGGTCCTCGGCCCTGGCCACGACAAAGCGTTCACCGGTAATGAAGAGACCGTCAGCAAAGGCCTTGTCCTTGGCGGCACTGTCACCGCTGACAATGCTGGCGATGACCTTCATCTCCTCGGGCTTGATCTACATCGTGGCACCTTTTGTCAGCAACTGAACCAGGGTGCCTCCCAGCCGAACGGTCCCCGGAACAGAAGGGGACTGCGGCATTTTGAGAGGATGAAACAGACGGGGGAAGGTCCTAAGTTACATCAAAGCCAGAAGAGGTGGCCCAGACACTGTCACCAGCGACGCTGATGATGGCGGCCTTGTCGATGTGGCCGGTGGCGACGAGGCTACATTTCTCCGGTCAGTACTCTTTTGTCCCTCCTTCGCTTTTGCTTCTACATTTCTGCATATATATCATGTCGGTCGCGTCTCGGGAGAGGGTTGTGTGTACCTCGTGTCAACGTAAGCTGTTTTGGAATCATGGTCAGCCGTCTTTTTGTCTCGCAAGCGATAGTCAAGGTGGGGGGGAACCGGAAGGGAAGGAGGGGTTCGCTCGCTGGCGTGGGTATAAAACTGACCTTGCCAAGACATGGTGAAAGAGAGAGAGAGAGGAGCAGGCTTGAGGATTGGAAAGAGAAGATTCGAAACACGCGACAAGCTGTGTAGAGGTTGCAAGGTTGAGAAAAAAAGGGCTCGCTTTCTTCTTTGTCTGCTGAGGAAGGAGAAGGGGAAAAAAAAGGAGTGCGGGGGAGGGGGTGGGAAGAGGAAAGTGGTTGAAGCTGCGATGTTGACGGGGACGGGAAGGAAGCTGCCCCTCAGCCCACTTGAAAATATTATGTCACTGGCTGCCCGGCCACTGCCCGGACGGGTACCTCGATACACGAGCCACTGTAGCGGCTGTATTACGGCTCCGTCTATGGGTCGTGAAGCGCTGGAATTGGATAGCTGGCAGCCTGCAGGGGGATGGATATGGCCCGAGAACTCAGAAGGCAGGACATGCTATTGCTTGTAGTGGATGATGCCCTCTGGACAGCAGAGCTAGGAGGCAGTCGCAGCGCTCGTCGGGCCTGGCAGTGGCCAGTGGGGACGCTGTGTGGACGCTGTGTGATGTAGCCTCAGGTAGGTAGTGGCGGTGTACGCAGGACTACGAGCACTGGGTAACAATGTTAGCAGGTCGGGCTCTCGATCCTCATATCCCACCTAATTATCGCGACACCGACAAAGAGCAACATGCTATCTTACTCGTCATAATACCGTCGTCCTAGCTACCGTTGTCCAGGATACGCGTCTACGACGTGTTTGATACTCTCCACCTGGGCTTACCGCTTGGCCGAACATGTGAGGCATGTGGTTGCCTGCGTCATGGCTCGTGATACGTGCGAGCAACAGACGTCAGAGTCAGAGAGAATCAGAGAGAATCAGGGAGAGAGAGAGAGAGGGACTGGGGGAGAGAGAGAGAGGGACTGGGGGAGAGAGAGAGAGAGGGACGGAGAGAGAGAGGGAGAGAGAGAGAGCCGGTTTTGGCCGGTGGCGGAGAGCGGGTTCTGACTTGTTGCCATGTGTGTGCGAGCATGTGTAGGTGATATTACGTCGTAGAGCATCTTCCGTATTTGCCGGACCAGTTGTGTCAAGAGAACCTGCCTACTCGTCTAATCATCTCTTCTCTTCTAGTACGTCGCCTTGCTCTGCAGACCAGAGACCCAAAGGTGGACAAGCCGGGTTGGCTACTCGTAGATCCTCGGCGGAGGCATCGCGCTATTTTGAACCAAGCACTTCTGGTACTACCACTCGTACAGGTACTACCTGCTGTTACTATGGACGAGCTCACGCCAGTGACGCAGTACTACGAATACATGTGGCATCTCTCTCGATGTTTGGTGCTCGAGCACATGTTGTAGTTTCACTTTCCTTCTCATTTCTGTGTGATTGAACTCCCATGCTACTCCCAAATCCCCAGCTCCAGGCGCATACGCTCATGTCTCGATGCTCAGGTACTATCTGAGCACATGCTTGTTCTCCTTTTCCTGCTGGCATTAATCATGCTCTTCGATGAGTAACCCAGCGCAGATGTCATGTGCTTATTAGCGTCTTACACGTAAGTCTAGACAAGGTAAACGGCCTTGTTGCTCTTGATATTGTTGTTGTTTTTGTCAGTCGACTTGGTTCTTTGAGCTTCTTATGTGCAATTTCGTTTCTTCCCGGAAAAGAGTAATTGGCATTGATGCAACCCGAATCCTTAGACCCTTTCGAAAGACACCCATGGTTTCTAAAATGAGCTCCCTCCCATGAAGACTCAAGAAGCCTCAACCTCTTGGCTGTCGGGGGGGGGGGGGGGGGAGCATTTATGCCAGTTCTAGACTCGGTCTCGTCAACAGGGGGAACGCGTACTTTAACAGGTTTTGGTTTTTCCTTTTGCTCCATAGGCCGATGTCGAAACCGCTGAGAGGAGATTTGTGTTGTTTGTCCATCTGGTTACGACTCTACATGTACGCGTACATACTGGAGTTGGTGTATCACGACAGGATGAAAGAGAACATCGCACCTCAGTTGAGACGATGAGGCGGAACCCATATTCCAGGGCGTACCAGCATCGTTACATTGCTCTTGAAAGAGTATTACTCCATACGACGTACTCCATACGGCACCAAGAATCGTACGGGATTGTCGCAACTTACGAAGGATCATTGGCACCGAAAGCGGTGGATCTCGAAGAATCGGAACACAAGTTGTCGACAGGTGACTAGTATCATGCCCATGATCATTCTCATCAAACTTTTCTATACGGAGTCGCATCAAGATTCAGGACCAGGTATTATACATGGAGAAAACTGATATTATCTCGTACCATCGGCATCATCACCTGTTTACCGGTAAGCGTGTATAGGTATAGGTCAGACGCATGAGCTATACCGAGTAATACCGAGCATTGCAACTCATTCGACCGAGCCAGGGTTGATTGATGCTTCTGGTCGTGCGCTTTGACTCTTGAGTATGGGTAGTAGGTCGTGAGAGTAGTAGTACCAGTAGCAGCAGCAGCAGCCAGCAGCAGTAAGTAGTAGTAGTAGCAGCAGCCAGTAGCAGTAGCAATAGTAGTAGCAGTAGTAAGTAATAATAAGTAGTAGTAGGTTATAATTGCCGGTGCTGTACATGTATAATGGTGACTGTATAACACAGGCTGAGCCCGATATTCCGGCGTATACGAGTATACGGTAATAAACAACAGCATATTAATCCTCTTTAAGGACAGGATATCTGCAACTGGCAACTACCCTCAGAAAACAACACTGGCGCCGCGGGCTTTCTCAACCTTGCAGCTTGTGAAACAGCCGATGATTCGCATCCCGATGTGGCAGAAGACTCTATGGAGGGGGATGATGGTAAATACCCGCTGCATGAAAGATTTAAAATGGAGAAACTGGTTGGACGTGGTGCATCATGTTCTGGAGCCTCCAAAAGATCCATGGAAGCCCCGTCCTTCATTCTAAATCCAACTCGTTTAATACCTCCGTTGAAAAGCCTGATGGTCGGACCCTTGTTGACCACCGTCGGATGTGAAACACTTTGTCGATAACCCCTGGATCCTTGTACCTATCCCTGTTACAAGGCACTACATTGACGACAACAACGCACGCACACATAATACGACGTACACTTGCCCCTCTAGGACATTTGACCGTCGACACTACGCAGCTAACCCCTGTCTCTCCCGCCTTGATGTGGGCGAGATTATGGAGCACGCGCCTTTGCGATGCGCAGTGCTAGGTATTGCTGTACAGATTACAGAGTGCTGTTACTATGAGTAGGGAAATCCATGTATCAATGTATGCCGTATTATACGTAGCAGTATATGTAGTAACATATCATGTAGTAACATATCATATAGTAATAGTAGCAATACTGTACTCGTACTCCCACGCGGTATTACCGCCAACAGTATGAAGTAATAATACTGGACGCGCCGCTACATGCAATACACCAAATCCGGCTGCAAGTAGCACACAAGATTGGGCCGAGACGAAGATGAGAGAGGAGAGAGAGAGAGAGAGAGAAAAAGAGCAGGAAAGAGGGTCCGGGGGTGGGTTCGTTCTTGCCAAGGGCAGTTACACAAGTGCATTACGAGCATAACCGAGCAAAACGAATCGTTCATACTACCACACTCTCTCTTTCTTTTAACAACGCCCTTCCCCCCCCCCCCCCCGGCCGTCTTATATCGGTTTCACCCCGTAGCTCGTTTACACAAGCTTCATGCTGTTGTGAGAGCTGCTGCGGTTGGTGTTGTGACTCTCTATCTGCTGCTGACCCATCGTTTTCGGGGTAGAAACTGCCTTGTTCTTCCCCCCCTTTCTCCTTTGATACTGCACAGCAGCATTGATGACAGCCATGAGTCCGAGTTTACGTTGGAGGGAACCGGCGCCGCAGGACCGACGGCCGAGCAGCTCATCTGGTCCCGGATCATCCTCCGCGAGAGGTGATGCTCCCATGACCAGCAAACAATACGACAAGAGAAAGTCTCGAGATGACTTGTACATCATTACAATGACTGCCGAGAAGCAGAAGCAGCAACAGCAACAACAACAACGACAACAACGACAACAGCAGCAGCAGCAGCAGCAGACATTGCATGTCCCTTATCATCGTGGCTGGCCACCTCATCTGTACTCATCATCGTCAACCTCGGCTGGCACACCTGCGAGACTAGACGCCTCCCCAGGTTCCGTCACAGAATCCATCCAGACGGGCGCAGAAGCCGAATTCCCCATCGGCATGGCCCTGGGAAGCCCCTCGCAGGCGCCCCTCACGGGTCCCATGTCTAGATCCGTCTCCGCGGCTGGTCGGCACGCCGCTCCTCCTCCTCCACCGCCAGCTAGGGCCTTCACCACCTCCAACAACACTACGCCATCCGAGGAGTCGGCACCCCAGCTATCGACGACGCCGCCCAAACAGAAATCACGCAAGTGGGGGATCTTCAGGAGCAAGTCTAGGAGCACTAAGAGGACTAGGACCAACACCGCGGACACGGACACGTCGCTGTCCCAGACTGACGCACAGCATCATCCGCCTCAGACGCACAGCACTCAGCCCTCGTCGACGGCATCGGGAACGACGCCGACGAGGGGAAACACCACACCGGCCATGGCCCCGCGCGGAGATTATGTCACCGGTAGTTCGAGGCGGGGCAAGCCCAGTGTATCTCGATCATATACGGAGCCCGTCTTGCAAGGCGCTGCAACCCAGGAGCGACATGTGTCTGATCACCACCATCACCACCCGTCCAAGGAGTCTCAAACCTCGATGCATAGGCCTACCCTTGCGAAACGTGCAGAGAGCGACAGGCGGCCACTGGCCCAGAACCCAGTCCGCCCAGGAGTCAACACTTACCCTCCCCAGATGAGGCGGGGCCCCCTCCTAGACGTTCAGATCCCCGACATCACCATGGAGAGATACAGCATCATGTTTGGCCAGGTCTTGCAGAACAAGCACTCGGGGGCGCATCAGCAGAAGGGCCAAGACCAGCAGCAGCAGCTGGAGCAGCACGAGCAGCTACATGAGCCGCCTCAGAAGCAGAAGTCATCGCATCCGTCGTGGCCGCAAGGCCAACTGGAACTCCATTTCCCTCTGCAGTCGCTTCCAGAGCAGAAGCCAGAACAGACTCTGCATGATGTTCACCATAACACCAAGTCTGGCTCACTGACGAGGTCCTCGTCCGCCCTCCTTGCCCGCCGACAGGCTACTCTGAGCAATCTAGCTCTGGAAAAGGCGGAGGAGAAGGCCAGCAAGAAGTCCCTGCCCCTGCCCCTGCCCCTGCCCGCGCAGGTTCGCATGGAGGCGCCGCCGGCTGACCTCGCGCCGCCCCGACGAATCGGCTCCCCTTCGCGCCATCAGCGCAAGAGCTCGCCTCAGCTACATCTTTTCCCGCCCACGCCCAAGCAGCAGCCGCACGTGGGCCTGGCCGTCCTCACACCGTCGCCCCGTGTACGCTCAAACACTTCGCCTGCCGACCTGCCCTCGCCGACTTTTGCCTCCCCAGACCACCAGGCACGATTCCACCAGGAAGCACCAGCGGTGACGAGCCTTCCCTCCCGCCCGCATCCGAACAGGCGTGCAGCCCAGAGCAACCCCCCGATAGGCAGGATGCCCCCGCCTGTGCCGTCACCGCCGACATCTCAGCAGCAGCGTACGCCACCCAAGCCCCAGCGTCTCCCTATTCAGCAGCAGCCCGTGGCCGAAGCCGTTTGCGAATCGCCTGTCGATATGCACGACTCGCCCAAGGCTGCCACTGCTGAGCGCTCCAGCATCGATGCGGCCATAGTCGTGACCCCACCACCGTCGTCGTCGCCGATCATGAGGAAGAAGAAGGGCTCAATATCATCCATCATGTCGTCAGAGCACATTACCGTGGTCAAGCCACAGGTGCAGCCGCAGATCCTGGTGCAGGAGCATGACAGCAACGGCAGCACAGATCAGGAGACTGCCGCTACCGCCGCGGCCGCGGACAGGGCTCTCAAGGAAGCCGTCGAGGCTTCCATCATCAGGCAGATATCCGTCTCCCGTGAACAGCGGCAGATGCTCGGGTCTCTTCGCGGCCACATGAAGAACGGAAGGGACGCAAAGCCGAAAGGTTTCGGGTCCGTTGCCGTCGGGCAGAATGAGCGCCTTGTCGAGACGAAGCAGCTCACGCCCGTCATGGTTCACCCTAGCTCCGAGGACGGGTCGAGCACGTCGTTGCATATGCACAGGCGGAGCGAGCGTGTTGTTCTCGAGGGGATGTGATGTCGTCGAGCGTGTCTATATTTCTCTTTCTTCACCTTTCACTTTCTTGTCGCTCTCTCTCTCTATTACGTCGAAGCCGGCCCTTCTCTCCTTTTAGTGCTTCTCTTCTTATCAATCATTTGCTATCTCGTTTCTGGTTACGAGTTTTTCTTCCTCCCCCCCCCCCCCCCCCCTCTAAACATTGCTCATGTTAACCCGCTGGCTTCGGGATGTTACACCCTTCAATACTATTATTTCTTTTGTCAACGAGTTGCCTTGATGGTACCTCTGGGAAAACGGCACGGCTTCTTGGTGTCTGGGAACGCAGGGAATCTTTTAGGAAGTGGAACCAAATTCATGATAGATACCATGGAGGTAACACCAAAAAGAAAGTGTGTATCCGCTTCACACACAATCTGGCGGTGCCTTTTCATTTCACATGCTTGCATACCCGTGATGTTTGTGATGGTCAACTGCATCTATATCGATGATTGATAGTAACTCGTAAGGTGTGGTAAGTAGTAGCCTGGAAACCCCAACGAAGGAAGAGAAGAGGAGAAAAGAAACAAGAGCTGAACGTGGAGAAGGAGGGAGATAGAGAGGGAAAAGGATCGTTTGCGTTGCATTAAGCTTTGTAGCCAAGAAGACGAATAAGTTTACATGATGAGACAGCAAGAGTTTTGCTTTTTAGCTTGCTCTGTCGGATGAGGAGGTTAGCATTAAAAGGATAGTTTTGCTTTGCAGAAGTAGATGGAATGATGCAGGGGGGTTCGCAGATAGAAAAGCCAAGAAGAGCGGTGTGATGTGGAGACGGCAAAGGACGACGACAACCAGAAGGAGGAAGGGGGGAAAGAGAGAGGGGGAGGGGGAGGTATCAGACCCACACATACACACACACATATATATATTATATACACACACCTAGGTACAGGGGGAGGGGGGGGGGGTGATTGAAGATTGAAATAGAGAGAGAGGGAGGAGAGAGAGGGGGACTAACGGTAAAACATCTTGCTCTGGTTGCTGAGACCGTCACTCTTGGCGACCAGGTCGTCAATCTTCTCGCCACGCTGGAGGACGCTCTCGATGGTCTTGTGGAGGACAATCTTTGTCTCGTCGAGCTCCTTCTGAATCTTGAGGATGCTGTCAGCCTGTTCCGGGTCCTGGTACTTGTCCAGGTACTCGCGGAGCTCGGGCATGGCGAGGCTGGGTGTCCCGGTGGCCCATGCCGATCGGGGGTTCTTGGTGAGGAAGTCGTCTACCACCTTGCCGAGGAGCTGGTGGGCCACCAGGGCAGGGTACTGATGGTCTGTGATGAGGATGCCGCACACGCCTTCGCTTCGACCGTAGGCGTGGAAAGTGTAGTCTGCGTTTCGGGGAGGTCAGTTGGAAATTGATTGGCGGGAGTGGTAGGATTGGAGCAGTAATGTACCCTGCTCCTCAACGTCCTGACGTTGTCCTGGCTTCGTTCGCTCGGCTACCGTCTTGGAGAAGAGGCTCATGAACTCTCCATAGCTGCAATATCCATCCGCGCGTGTTAGTGTGGGCGGGAGAGAATACGGGACAGAAGATAGCGGGACGCACTTGTTGCGGGTGAAGCGCGAGTAGGCGCTCAGTTCCTTCTCGGCGACGATTTCATGGGCGGGAGTCGAAATATTGCGGATGATCTGATCTCGACGGGTTAGGAACCATCATCGAGGGGTTGGTGGTGACATCAGGCGGGCGCCGCGCGCGGAAGGGGGGGGGGGTTGTGGATAGAGAGAGAGAGACAGAAAGAACAAGAACGTACACCAATGTAGAGGAGCTTCATGTCGGGCAATTGTCGTGTATTATATCTGTCGTCGGTTCTTCTTCTTCTTCTTCTTCTCCTCCGGAGGGTAGGTATTCGACAATGTCTGAGGCGGATGGGAGGGTTTAATGTTGGAAGTTGTCAGTCCGACATGCGCCCTTGTTTGTCTTGGGCCACCGCCCATCTGAATATGCCGGACGGGCGTCACATGCCCCTCTCTTTTTCCTTCTCGAGCCTCCTCGACCCCCCTAAATTTTAGGCTTCTTAGGGGCCCAGCAGGTCACCATCGCTACCTTAGTGGCGTACTCGTACTCTATCTCGGGGCCCTATAAGTCCGCTTCGGTCCAGCTAGTTGAGCACCACTGGGCATCATCATTATTACCGAGCATCTGAGCATTGAGTACCTGCAGTGAGCTCCCTGCTGGCAGTATTATGCCCCTCTCTTATTAACAGCCAACCCCCTCCTAAAAACATAAGAAAACCCCACTATTCGAGCTTGATGATTAGGCCCACCATCATCGTACACTAAAGCCATCGACTCTGTATTACATATTGTCCAGGTGACTCTTAATGACTGCATCCTTTTTTTTGAGGTGGGAAGTGATATTAACAGTACATGACCGAGAGTCGCCCTGACTCGTGTACATTTCTGTTTCATCTCCGTTAACTCGTCTTGTTCACATTACTCAACATATAGTCTGACACAGTCATGGCTTCCAGTAATCTCACCGCTGCCGAGTCGCAATGGCGAGAGCAATATGCCGCCATGCGAGCGGCCCTCGCTGACCTCAAACTCCCACCTCAAGACGGCACGATTGATTCTGATCTGGACGCCTCTGATTTCGGGAGCTACTCCTCTGGCGCCGGAGGACAGGATGTGTGGGATTTCATCAGCGACGAGGATGACGACGAGGAGGACAGCAGCGACTTTGTCGAGGAAGGTTATGGCACCAGCGATAATGTCGCCACTAGAGGACACGGAGCTGAATGGTTCATGACGAGGTGCTCAGAGATCTCTGCCAAGAACGGCCTCTCTGCCGATGTGTTTCAGAGCCAGATCTCAGCCGTCCTGTCATCGGGTGCGTCCGAGGACGAGCTGCAGATCCAGCTGACGGACCTGGTGGGTTTCGACGACCTCGACTTCATCATCGAGGTGCTGGGCCACAAGGACGACATCCTCTCCTCGCTGGCTGCCCAGGGCGACCTGGAGGGTGGCGGCGGCTCAGTGTCAGGCTCGGGTGGACGCAACCTGATGACGAGATCTCAGCGTGAAGATGCCCTGAGGCGACGGGACCACGAGCACAAGTCGGCCGCCCTCGGCCCCAGCCAGACGCGCGAGGTCCAGTATCCTCACGTCTACAAGGCTTACCATGCCGGGAACACAATCAGCCATTCTGGGAAGAAATATGGCCTGCCTGCTGGGAGTGAGAGGAAGCAGCATGACAAGTACGAGGAGTACTCTGTCCCGGCCGGCCGCAAGGGAACCTTGGCTCCCGGTCAGAAGCTGGTGGATATTGCCGATCTGGATGGGCTGTGCCGTAACACATTCAAGGGGTACAAGTCTCTCAACCGCATGCAGAGCCTCGTGTATCCCGTTGCCTACAAGACGAGCGAGAATATGCTCATCTGTGCTCCAACTGGTGCTGTGAGTACCGACAATGGCCCCCGGATCTTGCTGGATGAATGGCGATGGCTGATATTTCCAAAAAGGGTAAAACGGATGCTGCCATGCTTACGATTTTACAAACCGTCGCACACAATGTTGTGCCGAATCCTCTGGAGCACCCCGAAGCCACCGAGTATGCTGTCAACATAGACGACTTCAAGATTGTCTACGTCGCACCCATGAAGGCCCTCGCTGCCGAAATCACCGAGAAGCTTGGAAAACGACTGGCCTGGCTCGGTATCAAGGCCCGTGAGTACACCGGTGATATGCAGCTGACCAAGTCGGAGATTATCCAGACCCAGATCATCGTCACGACACCCGAGAAGTGGGACGTCGTGACGAGAAAGGGCACCGGCGACACGGAGCTTGTGCAGAAAGTCAGGCTTCTCATCATTGATGAGGTTCACATGCTGCACGACGAACGAGGAGCCGTGCTCGAATCCCTGGTCGCGAGAACCGAGAGGCAGGTTGAGAGCACGCAGTCCCTCATCCGAATCGTTGGACTGAGTGCCACCCTGCCCAACTATGTCGATGTCGCAGACTTCCTCAAAGTCAACAAGTATGCCGGGCTGTTCTACTTTGACTCGTCCTTTAGGCCCGTGCCCCTGGAGCAGCACTTTATCGGCGTCAAGGGAAAGCCCGGAAAGAAGGAATCCAAGGACAACCTGGACAACGTTGCGTTTGAGAAGGTCAAGGAGATGCTCCAGAGAGACCACCAGGTCATGGTGTTCGTGCATTCGCGAAGGGACACCATGCTCACCGCCAAGATGCTCCATGCTAAGGCCATGGAGGATGCCTGTACTGACCTGTTCGACCCCTTCGGACACCCCGGCTACGAGCAAGCTGTCCGGGACATGAAGACATCGAGGTCCAAGGAGATACGAGAGCTTCTGCAAAAGGGTCTGGGTATCCACCATGCGGGCATGGCCAGGGCCGACAGAAACCTCATGGAACGCCTGTTCGCGGAAGGTGTGACGAGGGTTCTCTGCTGTACCGCCACGCTGGCCTGGGGTGTCAATCTGCCCGCTGCCGCCGTCGTCATCAAGGGAACGCAGGTCTACAGCGCTCAGGAGGGTAAGTTTGTCGACCTCGGCATCCTCGACGTACTGCAGATCTTCGGTCGTGCGGGCCGACCCCAGTTCGAGGACGTCGGTATCGGCATGATCTGCACCACCCAGGACAAGCTCACGCACTACCTCACGGCTATCACGGAGCAGCAGCCTATCGAGTCAAAGTTCTCTACTAAGCTGGTGGATAACCTCAACGCTGAGATTGCACTGGGCACTGTCACGTCTATAGCCGATGCCGTCACCTGGATAGGCTACTCCTACCTCTTTGTGCGCATGAAGAAGAGCCCTCTGACCTACGGTATCGAGTGGTCGGAGATCCGCGACGACCCTTCCCTCGTCCAGAGGCGTCGCCAGCTGGCGATCCAGGCTGCGCGGACGCTGCAGCAGTGCCAGATGATCATCTTCAATGAGAGGACGGAAGAGCTGCGCAGCAAGGACATTGGTCGGATTGCCAGCCAGTTCTATATCCTCCACACCAGCATACAGGTTTTCAACAGCATGATGAAGGCCCAGGCCACCGAGGCCGACATCCTCAAGATGATCAGCATGAGCGGAGAATTTGACAATGTCCAATCTAGGGACAGCGAAGCCAATGAGCTGATGCACCTCAAGAACGATGTGGTCCCATGTGACGTCGAGAGCAGCATCGACACGCCCCAAGCCAAGACCAACATACTTCTCCAGTCTTACATCTCGAGGGAGCTGCTCGAGGACTTTGCACTGACAAACGACATGAACTACGTGGCCCAACAGTCTGGCCGAATCTGCCGCGCGCTCTTCATGCTTGCGCTCAACCGGCGATGGGGCCACCAGTGCTTGGTTCTCCTGACGCTGGCCAAGTCGATCGAGAAGAGGATCTGGCCCTTCCAGCACCCGCTTCACCAGTTCGACCTGACCAAGCCTGTCCTCCACCAGCTCGACACCAAGGAGCATCTCACCATTGAGACGATGAAGGAGATGGACCCTGCCGAGATCGGGGCACTGGTGAACAACCAGAATGCCGGCAAGAACATTGCCAGGATTCTCAAGCACTTCCCCACGGTTCATGTCGAGGCCGAGATCGCACCCCTCAACAGGGACGTCCTGCGCATCAAACTCTTCGTGATCCCCGACTTCGTCTGGAAGGACTTCTTCCATGGCACCTCGGAGTCGTTCTACATCTGGGTCGAAAATTCAGAGACGTCGGAGATCTACCACCACGAATATTTTATCCTTAACAGGAGGAAGCTTCACGACGATCACGAGCTCAACTTCACCATCCCGCTCTCGGACCCCCTGCCGAAGCAGATCTACGTCCGCGCCGTTTCGGACCGCTGGCTGGGCGCCGAGACTGTGACGCCGGTGTCGTTTCAGCACCTGATCCGACCCGACACGGAGAGCGTCTACACGGAGCTGCTCAACCTCCAGCCGCTGCCCATCTCGGCCCTGAAGAACCCGGGGCTCGAGGAGCTCTACGCCAGGCGATTCCAGTTCTTCAACCCGATGCAGACACAGATCTTCCACACGCTGTACCACACCGCCGCCAACGTCCTGCTGGGATCACCAACCGGTTCCGGCAAGACGGTCGCGGCTGAGCTGGCCATGTGGTGGGCGTTCCGGGAGCGCCCCAAGTCCAAGGTTGTCTACATTGCGCCCATGAAGGCCCTCGTCCGCGAGCGGGTCAAGGACTGGGGTCAGAGACTGGCCGGACCCCTCGGTCTGAAGCTTGTCGAGCTTACCGGTGACAATACACCCGACACGAGGACCATCAAGGATGCCGACATCATCATCACCACGCCCGAGAAGTGGGACGGTATCTCGCGTTCGTGGCAGACGAGAGGCTACGTCCGGCAGGTGAGCCTTGTCATCATCGACGAGATTCATCTGCTAGCCGGTGACCGAGGCCCTATACTTGAGATCATCGTGTCGCGTATGAACTACATTGCTTCGTCGACCAAGAACTCCGTACGCCTGCTGGGAATGTCCACGGCCTGCGCCAACGCGAGCGACCTGGGGAACTGGCTCGGCGTCAAGGAGGGGCTCTTCAACTTCAGGCACTCTGTGCGACCCGTACCCCTGGAGTCGTACATTGACGGGTTCCCGGAGACGCGGGGCTTCTGCCCTCTGATGCAGTCGATGAACCGACCGACATTCCTGGCCGTCAAGAACCACAGCCCCAGCAAGCCCGTCATCGTGTTCGTACCCTCGCGTAGGCAGACACGCCTGACGGCAAAGGACCTCATCAACTACTGCGGCATGGAGGACAACCCGCGACGCTTCCTCCACATGGACGAGGACGACCTGCAGCTCAACCTGGCCAGGGTCAAGGACGATGCGCTCAAGGAGGCCATCAACTTCGGCATCGGGCTGCACCACGCCGGTCTCGTCGAGTCGGACCGTCAGCTGTCGGAGGAGCTCTTCCTCAACAACAAGATCCAGATCCTCATCGCCACCAGCACGCTCGCGTGGGGAGTCAATCTGCCCGCGCACCTGGTAGTGGTCAAGGGCACGCAGTTCTATGACGCCAAGATAGAAGGGTACAGGGACATGGATCTGACGGACGTCCTCCAGATGCTGGGCCGAGCCGGCAGACCGCAGTTCGACACGTCGGGTGTGGCCCGCATCTTCACGCAGGACTCCAAGAAGGACTTTTACAAGCACTTCCTGCACACGGGGTTCCCGGTCGAGTCGTCGCTGCACACCGTCCTCGACAACCATCTGTGCGCCGAGGTGTCGGCCGAGACGGTGGTAACCAAGCAGGACGCGCTCGACTACCTGACGTGGACCTTCTTCTTCCGCCGGCTGCACAAGAACCCGTCGTACTACGGTCTGGAGATCTCGGCCGAGGATCACAGCACCATCGTGGCGCAGCAGCAGGCCAACGAGTACATGATTGACATGGTCAACAAGTCCCTGGGCGAACTGGCCGCGTCGGGCTGCGTCGAGGTATACCCCAACGGCGACGTGGACCCGACCCCGCTCGGGAAGATCATGAGCTACTACTACCTGTCGCACAAGACGATCCGACACCTGGCGAAGCACGCCAAGCCCGAGGCCACTCTGCTCGACGTGCTGTCGTGGATGTCACGAGCGACCGAGTACGACGAGCTCCCGGTACGCCACAACGAGGACCTCATCAACGAGACGCTGTCGGCAAGCCTGCCGCTCCCGGCCCATTCCTTCGGCCTACCCATGTGGGATCCTCACGTGAAGGCCTTCCTCCTCCTGCAGGCGCACATGTCGCGCATCGAACTCCCGATCACCGACTACGTGGGCGATCAGACTAGTGTGCTCGACCAGGCAATCCGTATCGTACAGGCGTCTATCGACGTCCTCACCGAGATGGGATACCTGTCCAGCTGCCTGCGCATGATCAGTCTCCTCCAGTCCATCAAGTCAGCCCGGTGGCCTACGGACCCTCCGGCCTCCATCCTCCCCGGCGTCGATGCGGAGTCCAATCCGGGCACGGATGGCACCGCGACGAGTCTCAAGGCCATCAGCGCCATGTCCCCGGCGCAGATCAGCTGGCTGGCCAAGAGCCTGGGAGTCCCCTCATCGCAGATTAGTCGGTTCACCCGCGCCGCATCTATCCTGCCGAACCTAAAGGTCTCCATCGATGACAGGACGACCACGTCCCTCACCGTCGGCCTACGGCGTTGCAATCCGCTAATCGAGCGAGAAGCACGCATGTACACGCCCAAGTTCCCCAAACCCCAGAATGAGGGATGGTTTGTGCTCGTGGCCGACGCCGGCAAGGATGAGATCATTGCCGTCAAGCGCGCCATGTGGTCAACTGGTCCTGGCAACAACAGCGAGGCAAGGAAGAAGCTACAGCCTGGGGCTAGGCCGTCGGCCAGAGCTGTGATCAAACTCCCCGATCTGGAGGGAAGGAAGGTGGATGTCATCGTTGTCAGCGATGGGTATGTCGGACTCGAGTACCGGATCGAGGGCGTCGAGATACCGGCCGCGCCGACGGTGGATGATGATGTAGATAAGAAGGCCAAGCAATGAGCAATACAATTATGCTGCAGCATACTCGGACGAATAGTATTACAATCGAGGGTACATGTGCAGCCTATACTCGTATGATGGCAGCATTACATGCGAACGTACAAAGTGTCGCTAACGCGGGGGTTACGGTATTACTGCTAACCTTTGAAGACCAGGCAATCAGACACGCGGCAGGATGCCCCCCGACATGGAATAGTGCCTCGTATCGAACAGCGGTTTGTTTGGCCCCTTGTTCATTGCCAGCGATGGATTGTGCGCAAAGTCGTATCGAGTCGTAGGTGAACTGATATTATCAACACTGCGTGGTGGTAGGTACTAGGTACTACAGTAGTATTACGAGTATCACACGTAGTTCCCACCATGGGGTGACGTGATGATAGACACGCCAGTTTAAGTGACAGGACGCGTGTGTCAGACGGAGGGCCAGAGATTCGCATTAATTCAGAGTGATTGATTGTAGAGGGGAGAGTATCTTGCAGTCTGCACGCGTAGTCATACAAGACAGAGAGAAGTCTCGGGTGTGTGCGCATGTACGAGTGAGTAGTCCTCCTGTTCCTGGTAGTAAAGGAAGACAGACAAGAGAGAGAGAGAGACATGGCGTTATCGACTGTCTATTAATAATTATCCCCGAATCCCCGCTACGCAGTAACCCCCCAAAGACAACAACAACAACGACGACAGCCAAGACGCCCAGCATCCCATCACATAAGAAATCGCACTCCTCTTTTTCTCTCATCATATCACTGCAAGCCAGGAGAGAAACGCAGAGGCAACCCCGTTATGTGCTGCAGCCGCCATCATGGTCTTCAGCGGGCTGCTCACCACGGGCGACAGCAACAAGCCTAGCGGGAACCGGCCCCGGGCCAAGACGTCGTCGTCGTCGGCTACGTCGGATCTGCTGCCGCTCCCCGGATTCATCCACGACGAATCCCAGCTCCCGTGCCTGCCCCCGGAGAGGCCCAACCTCCGCGAGCTGAACGAAAGTCTCGAGGCCCTCGCCGCCGCCTTCCCCGATATACAGATCGAGGTCTTCCGAGAGCTGCTCTCCAGCTTCGACGGGGAGTCCCGGCTGGCCCTCGTGGCCGATGCACTCCTCAAGAATCGAGTCACCTGGGTCAAAGGGAGGTGGAAGGTTGCCGACCGCACCGCTGATGGAAGGGGAGGCTTGGATCTCAGCAGCAACAACCATAACGATGATTACGATGACGACGACGACGACGACGATGACGGCAGAAACGAGGAGGATGGGGACAAGGGGGACAAGGATGGCGGCAGGCATGGACACGGACATGGACATGGACATGGACATGCTACCCCCGCCGAAACTGTACCCCGAAACGAACGGTTCAGGAGCAGCGAATACGTCCAGGCAGTCCAGACGCTGGGATACCAAGAGTTCAAGGGCCTGTCCAAGTCGACCATCAACGCAGTGCTGGCCGAGAGCAACTACTCGTACCTGGAGGCGCGGCCGACGCTGGTGACGCTGTCGTCCAAGTCGTGGCGGTTCGCCATCTCCGCCTTCCTGCTGCGGCGCAAGCCGGTGACGGGGGGCGACGCGGTGGAGAGCCACCCGCTGGTGACGTGGCGGTCGTCAGGCCAGGGGTCCATCTACCCGGCGCTGCGGGCGACGGGCAACGCCGAGCTGGACCGGGAGCTCTTCACGCGGCTGATCGCGCCGATCCGGGCCAAGGAGCGAGCCGAGCGCGACGAGAAGGACTCGCAGCTGGCGGCGGAGCTCAACCTGGACGAGGCCGAGGCGGCCGAGGCGACGCACGAGTGCGCGTGCTGCTTCATGGCGGGCACTTTCGAGCAGTTCACGCACTGCAACCGCGAGGGCCACATGATCTGCTTCCGCTGCGTGCGGCACTCGGTCAACGAGGCCGTCTTCGGGCAGGGGTGGCAGAGCAGCATCGACCACGCCACGGGCACGCTGCGGTGCATGGCCGTCGACGGGTCCGGGTGCGAGGGGGGGCGGATCTCGCGCTCCCACATGCGGCGGGCCATGCGGGGCGAGAAGAAGGGCGGCGAGATCCTGCGCAGGCTGGACCAGCGGCTGGCCGAGCACAGCCTGGCGGCGACGCGGCTGCCGCTGGTGCGCTGCCCGTTCTGCAGCTACGCCGAGGTCGACGACGTGTACATGCCGTTGCGGGAGCAGCGGATGCGCGTGCGCGTCGACAGCGTCATCAACCTGGTGCTCGTGGTGCTGTGCGTGGGCGTGACGCCGTTCCTCCTGCCGCTCGTGGTGCTCTCCTCGCTGCTGTGCCTGGTGGTCAGCTCTCAGCAGACGCTGGGCCACTACCTCCGCGCCGAGTGGCGGTCGGCGCTGGGCAGGAGGAGGCGGCACCGGAGGGGCCAGCGCTTCGTCTGCCAGAGCCCCGACTGCCGACGCGCCTCGTGCCTGTCGTGCGGCAAGTCGTGGGTGGACGTGCACGTGTGCCACGAGTCGTCGCTCATGGCGCTGCGCACCCAGGTCGAGCAGGCCATGAGCATGGCCGTCAAGCGCGTGTGCCCCCGCTGCTCCACCTCGTTCGTCAAGAACTCGGGCTGCAACAAGCTCACCTGCCCCTGCGGCTACAAGATGTGCTACGTCTGCCGCGCCGACCTGACCGACCAGGGCTACCGACACTTCTGCGACCACTTCCGCCCGGACGGCGACCCGCGCCCATGCGCCGACTGCGACCGCTGCAACCTCTGGGAGTCGGAGGACACGGACAAGGTCCTCCGCGAGGCGCGCGAGGACGCAGAGCGCAGGTGGAAGGCAGCCGAGGCCCGCGAGCTCTCCGGCGCCGACAAGGCCTTTCTCGAGACCGGCGTCGCTTCCGACGACGCAGGTCATGGCCTCGTCGAGAGTGTCCTCCTCCGCGGGAAGCTGCCTACCTTGTCACAGGTGTTGGATGTCGTCGTCGACGTCATCTTTGTCTGAAACCCTTGTTCTTTTACAAGAGGATACACACACACACATTTTCCTCGCTCACCAATATACCATCACGACCCTTTTTTCCCACTCCTTTTATTCACGATACAACCTTTCCTTTCTCTCTCTCTCTCTCTTCTTTCTTTGGCAGGATGATACGGGTAAATTTCTTATTATTATTATTGTTATTATTATTTCTCTTTCTTTTTCTTCTTCTTTGCAGTGAAAGGATTTGGGCCCGTTTCTCTTCATCCTTTCTTCCTTTCATTTTCTTGGGAACACAAAACACACACAACAGAGCGCTTTATTCAGAGTGGGAAGAACAAAACACACACACACACACACACACACACACACACACACAAGACATGATTAGAGATACCAACAAAACAGACAGACACACACACAGAGACTTGCAAATACAAGAAAAAATGAATGCCACGTACAAGAACCGTTTCATTCATGCATTCTTCTTCTTCTTTAATCCCCTTAAACTTTCTTGACTCGTTACACATGGTTGTTTCAGTTACATCAGCTCGGCTGCTGCGCCGGCAATGACCGTCTTGCCCGTCTCCTTGATCTTTGTGGTGAAGATGACCTTGTTTCTCTCTCGCCACATCTCCGTCACGAGGGACTGACCTGGGATGACGGGACCGGCGAATCGGACCTTGATATTCTTGAACGGGCCGAATCTGGGAGGGGGGTTTTTATGTTTTTTTTATTTCTCTCGGGTTAGCTCTTTTCTTTCTTTCTTTTCAAATTTATAAGGAAAGGGGAAAGAGACGTACGTGTCGTAGACGGCCTTGCCGGCAAATCCAAAGGAGCAGAGGCCGTGAAGGATGGGAGCCTTGAAGCCACCCATCTTGGCGAAAGAGGGATCTATGTGCAGGGGGCTAGCAGGGTCAAAGTCAGTTACCCGTTCTGGAGAGGGGGGGGGAACACCCAGAGGGGGCCCCGGTGGTAAGAGAACAAACATACTTATAGTCACCGCTGAGACGGTAAATGGCAGCCTGATCATCGGTGGTGGCAGCCTGAACGACGACGTCGGGCTTCCTCTTGGGCGGGTTGTTGGCGGCGGTGGCGGCGCCGCGGACCTTTCCGCGCCTGGGGCCGTCGAAGCCTCCCGAACCGCGGAGGAAGATGGTCATCTCGTTGTAGAAGACGTCGTCGCCCGTGTCGGCCAGACGGGTGGTGACTCCGGTCTTGACGATGGCGGCGCTGTCCTTGTCGACCACCTCGAGCAGGCGGGCGGTGGAGACGAGGCGGGCGCTCGTGGGGAGGGGCCAGCGGCGCACCTCGAGGTACTGCTCGCCGTGGAGGAGCGTCATGGGGTTGAAGTTGGGCACGATGGCGTCGTAGTCGAACGGCATCTCGGCGTTGAAGGGCGGGATGACGCCAAACGTCGGGAGCACCTGGAAGTCGTCGGCACCCTCGAAGACGTACTTGAGCTCCGTGCGCTTGGCGCCCACGCCCAGGTTGTACAGGATCGCGTCGCGTTCCTCGTAGCTGTACTCCGTCGGCTTGCCCTCCCTGGTCAGGGCAGAACTAATGGCCGAGAGGTGCTCATTTATGCTGGCCTACGGGTACAGATAAGAATCCGATCAGTACAGGAAAACATGATGGTAGAAAACATGAATGACAGTGACATTTGGTCTTCTTGTTTCTCCTTTTTCTTCTGTCATGGAGAAAAGAAAGAGAGAAAGAAAGAAAACAAGGCTAAGGACTATATAAAATAGTATACAAGAACATGGCGAAAAAAAAAAAAAAAAGAACAAATATCTCATACCTTGCCAGCTCGGTTATCAATGTTGGCCATGACCTTCTTGAGCGAATCCTGCATCTTCTCCGGGTGGTCGGCGTCGGGGCTGTCAAAGTTGACAATATCGCCCCAGTGCTTGACAACCTCCTCAGGAACCAGGGGGACGTCGACAGGGAAGCCGTGGCCGCCGGCCCTCTGCCAGCGTGTGCGGCCGCACCATCCGCTGCCCACCTCATACAGACCACCGGTAGGGTCAGGGCACTTGTCGCTGCACAGGGCCAGGACCAGGGGCGCAATGTAGTCGGGCTTGAAGGCCTGGACCATCTCCTCAGGCATGATGGTGGCCGTCATGGCCGTACCGGCGTTGGGAGCAATGGTGTTGACGTAGATGTTGTATTTGGCCCCCTCGGCGGCAAGGGCACGGGAGAAGCCGAGGATGCCGCATTTCTGATAAATCAATGGCTAGTCAGCAAACCGAAGAGAAGGGTGGAGAGGAGGAGAGAGAGTAGACAGCATACCGCGGCAGAATAGTTGGCCTGGCCAAAGTTTCCGTAGATGCCACTGGTCGACGTCGTGTTGAGAACACGGCCGTACCTCTGCTTGAGGAAGTAGGGCCAGGCAGCCTTGGTGGTCTTGTAGGTGCCGCGGAGGTGGACGTTGACGACGGGGTCCCAGAGCTCGTCGTCCATGTTGTTGAAAGCCTTGTCGCGCAGAATACCGGCATTGTTGACGAGGATATCGATGCGGCCAAAGGCGTCGATGGCGCCCTTGATGACGTCGTCGCCGTCCTCGGCCGAAGCCTTGACGCCCGCGGCCTTGCCGCCCATTGCCTTGATCTCGTCGACCACGGTGTCGGGGTTGACGAGGTCGTTGACGACGACCGAGGCACCGTACTTGGCAAAGGCAAGGGCATAGGCGCGTCCGATGCCGGCACCTCCGCCGGTGATGAGGGCGACGCGGCCCGAGAAGTCGAGCGTCTCGCCCTGCTCGTTGGGGCCCATCTTCATCGACTCCTCGAGGAGGGTCATGAAGTCGTTGGGACCGGTGGGGTACTGGGGCTTGGAGAAGTCGACGACCCTGTCCCACTTCTTCAGGACGGCTCCGGGCGTGTAGCTGTCGTCGGCCTTGAGGAGAAGGCCGGAGGAGCGCTCCCAGCGGAGCTTGGCCATGGCGCCGGCGCCGACCTCGAAGATGCCGCCCGTCTCGGAGTCGTTGCTCCTGTGGACGAGCGTGGCGACCAGGGGGACGACCCAGTCAGGCCTGAGGTTCTCGAGCACGTCGGGGGGCATGACGGTCTCGGTCATGCGGCTAGCGGCTGCAGAGAGGGAAGGGGGAACGTCTGGTCAGCATATTCCGGATCGTCCGATCGAACTGGTCGTCAGGAAGGGGGGGAAGAAGGAACACACCGATCGGAGCAATGACGTTGCAGAGGATGTTGTACTTGATTCCCTCCTTGGCGAGGGTCTCCGTGAAGCCGACCATGGCCAGCTTGGCAGCCGAGTAGTTCGTCTGGCCAAAGTTGCCAAAGAGACCGGCGGCCGAGGCGGTATTGATGACGCGGCCGTACTTTTGCTTGCGGAAGTGAGGCCAGGCGGCGCGGGCGCACTTGTAGGCTCCCTTGATGTGCACCTTGCTGATGAGGTCCCAATCCTGGTCCTTCATGTTCTTAAAGCTGACGTCACGCAAGATACCGGCGTTGTTGAGGAGGACGTCGACGCGACCGAAGGCCTGGATGGCCGTGTCGATGATGCGTTCGCCGTTCTCGACGCTGTCGTAGTTGGCCACGGCCTTGCCACCGGCCTTTTTGATCTCTTCGACGACGACATCGGCGGCCTGTTTGTCGACGGTGACGGTGTTAGTCTTGACGTTGGGTGGGTTTGGGGTTTGGGGTTTGGGGGGGTGAAGTTGCGGAGTTGCGTCGGGGGCATTGCACGCACCTTGTTCGAGTTACCCTCGCCCTTGAAGGAGCCGCCGAGATCGTTGACGACGACGCTGGCACCTCGCGAGGCAAAGAAGAGAGCGTACACCTTTCCTAGACCACCGCCAGCGCCGGTGACGACGACGACCTGGTCGTCATAGCGCAATTGCTCCGGCATGATGATAGATCGTGTGTATGTGTGCGTATGTATGTGTGCGTGCGTGCGTGCGTGCGTGTGTGTGTGTGTGTGTGTGTGTGTGTGTGTGTGTATGGGCAGAAGCTGTATTGTATGTGTGTGTAGACAAGCTCTGTCTCTCCTGTCGGTTATGTCGGGGAGAAGAACGGAGGAGATGAGACAGAGAGAGATGGAGGGAGAAGAAGGATGAGAGAGGAAGAAACAATCAAGGTTGAACGAAGCAGCAGCAAGTTGGGCTGGGTCCCTCTTTTTACAAGCTGCTACTAATACCGGCTTGACAAAAAGGTGGAGGAGGAGGAGGAAGCCAAGTCCCAAGGTAACAACGGCAATGAAGCACCTCGAGCCTCGGCTTCTCTCATTTCTGGGGCGCCGAGGGGCTCACGGGCCATTCTGGGGGGGGAACGACGCTAGTCCTGATTCGGCCTCGGTCTACGTCTTTGCCTTGTGTGAGGTTCGTCGTCACATGCAATGAGGTCATGCAGGGGCTTGATCCAAGCATCCTGCCGTGTACTCGTACATGTATTGTACTCGCATCATACGTACCTGATATCTCTGCTAGCAATAGCAGTTAATCTCGATAACAATAATAATAACAGTCGTCTATTCTGTGAATAGCCGTGAACGGAGCTGACGATACCCTCCACGTGTCATCCCTAGTCATCCCCAGTCATGATACCCGGTCGACACAGCCATGGCCCGTCACCACATGCGTACGTGCCTTGTACATGTATTCTAGCCGCCCAAGTTTCGAAATGATTTACCCTGCAAGACGGATTACCTAATCCCATCAAGCTCCCCCAATTCAATCTCCAGAATCCAATGGGCCCTTCGGTCTTCCACGCCCTTTGAACATCGGAAAACCTCCGATGTCCCCCCACATCGTCCACCATGGGCTTGATCCCTCGTAGTAATGATGGATAGACCATAACAATCTCCCTCCCCAGTGACAGCACGCACATAGAAGAACAAGAACAGAAAGAAGAAGAAGAAGAAGAAGAGAAGCCCACCATGACGACCTTTGTAGACGACAAGACGCCCATCTGCGTCCCCTTCATCCTAGAGCACGTCAAGGCTCACCAGCAGTCCTCGTCCGACGGGCACCGGCCGTTCATCATCGGCCTCAACGGCATCCAGGGAGCCGGCAAGACGACCCTGGTGACGGCCCTGTCCTCCGCGCTGGACAGGCATGGCCTCCCGACGCTGGTATGCAGCATAGACGACTTCTACCTCCCGCACGCGGACCAGGTGGCGCTCGCGTCGTCGCACGCCGACAACGCCCTCGTCCAGCACCGCGGCGAGCCGGGCACGCACGACCTCGCCCTGGCGCGCCGGTGCCTCGACGCCGTCGTGGCCGGCCAGCCCACCCGGATCCCCGTGTACGACAAGTCGGCCTTTGGGGGCGCGGGCGACCGCCTCCCCGAGTCCGAGTGGCGCCCCGTCAACCAGCACGGGCCCGTGCTGCGCGCCGTCATCCTGGAAGGGTGGTGCGTCGGCTTCCGCGCCCTGAGCGACGCCGACGTCGAGTGCAGACGGTCGGCCCACCCGCGCGGCTCGCGCACGCTGGCCCGCCACAGCCTCGAGCACCTCCTCTTCGTGAATGACTGTCTGAGGGCCTACGACGCCCTGACCGACCTATTCGACGCCTTTGTCCACATCGACGCCCGCGACCTGACATACGTCTACGACTGGCGCGCGCAGCAGGAGGACCATCTGCGCAGGGACAAGGGCGATCCCAACGCCGGCATGTCCCCCGAGCAGATTGTCCGCTTCGTCGACGGCTACTTCCCCGCCTACGAACTCTACACTGACCAGGTGCGCGCGGGCGTGCTGCCGGGGAAGCCCGGGAGGCAGCTGAGGATAGTGGTTGATCAGGACAGAAGAGTTGCAGAGGTTCATCGGATATAGTAGTGGTCGTCTCTGCATTTTTTTTCTTTATTCTTCTTCTTCCATCTCTCTGTGCGAAGAATACATTGTAATGTATGGTAAAGTATCTTGGTCTTTTTTCATTTCTGGCGAGAAAAAATTTTTTTACATGATGATGTATAGGTAAAATGACAGAGTAATATAAGCAGCCCCCAAAGTAAGAACAGCAACACCATACGCCATATTCCATGCAGTATCATGACCATTATTTCCCCTCCCTTCCCTCCCCACCCCCCTCACCCACCTCCTGACCATCTCATGTTCCCCCCATGTGTGACCTGTGACATGAACAAACGGAAAAAGAAAGATGAAGAAGAAGGAGGAGGAGGAGGAGGAGAAGGAGAAGGAGAAGGAGTAGAAGGGGAAAGAGGATCAGAGGGAGGGAGGGGGAGGAGAGGAAGGAAGAGGAGGAGGAGGAGGAGGAGGGCGGGTCAGCTACATGAACCTATCCCCCACAACCTTCTGCCCATCCTGTCTCATCTTGATCAGCTTACGATCAACCGCTTCGGACCTGCGGCGCACCACCTCCTCCCTGGCCGACGCCTCCTGCTCAAACTCCCCCATGAGCCTCCTCTTCATTCGCCTCGCGTTTCGCAGCCTGGTCATGATGTCGGCGAACTGGTCGACGAACCAGTCGCCCGACTGCTCCCACTCGTCCGTCGTCATGGTCGAGAACATGGTCCTCTGCTCGGCCTCTGTATGCCGTCTGTACTGGCTCAGTTTCCGGGACAGCGCGTCTTCCTCTCCCCCCCCCTCGTCGTCGGCCCCTCCCTGTCCGTTGCCGTTGTGCCGGTGGTGGTAGTGGGCCTTTTCGCCCGAGGCCGGGTGCGTCGCGGGATCGAGGTCGAACGGCTCGCGCAGGAGGTCCTCGTAAGTCATGGTGCTGAGGGCCCTGTCGTCGTAGTCGGGGCTCACGCGGCTGCGCTTCTTCCCACGGTTCAGGCCCAGCCCCGCCGGCGGCATGAGACTCTTTCCGAGGGACTCTCGTACCTGCGGCGGCACCGCCGGAGCTCTATGCGCCGTCCTCCTCTTCGCCCTCGGCGTCGCGTGGGTGGCCTCTCCCCCCGCCCCCTCGTCGTCACCGTTGTCTCCGTCGAGGTCGAGGATCCCGAGACTTGCCGTCTCGCGCCGTCGTTCCTTGTACCTTGCCTGCCACGGCGGTCTCTCCCATCCTGGCGAAGCACCCCGCTGCAGCGGCGCCGGCGACGGTGACGGTGCCTGGGAATGTTTGCTCTGCGATCGCTGGGGCCTCGAGATCCTGACCTCTCTTATAGCCAACCTCCTCGGCGCATGTGCGGCCGCTGCCGCGGGCGACTCGGGCCGTGCCGCTGCCGCTTCTCGGTGAAACGCCGCGGTGCGTCGGCCCCTGGTAATGTCGTCGTTCTGGAAGCCGTCCTTCATGTGCGACAGCGCACGTCGTCCCGGCCCCTGTGCGGTGGGTGCCGGTCCAGCAGGCTTGGCCACCGTCCTCCCCTGGTCATTGACGTTGAACTGCGCATGGTCGTACAGGCGTCTCGCCGAGTCGTCCTTCCTGGCACGATACGGCTCCGCCGCCCGTCTCTCGTCGGCCTTGTCGGTGAACACGTCCTCCTGCTCGTTCTGCGGCGTCGTAAGCCCCGACCTCATGAAGTTTTCTCCCAACTGCGAGCCCTCGAATATGGCCCGGTTGGTAGCTTCTTCGTCGTCTTCGATGCCGACAACGGTCTCGGCTTTCGTCGGTGACGCCGGTACTGGTGCGGGCGCGGGCGCGGGCGCGGGCGCAGGCGCGACGGGCGGTACCTTGACCAACTTTGGAGGCGACGGTCGTGATATCCTGGGCGGCAGGCTGAGCGCAGTATTCCTAATGGTGTGCAGGGGCCTGGGCATCTGTCCGCTGCCCACGAGGACATGCTCCTTCGTCGGCGAGGGAGGCACCGCTGCTGCAGCCGCTGCGGAGGGAGGCGCTGACGAAGCCGGCGGCGGCGGCGCTGCTGCCGCCGCCGAATGGTGGGAGCGGTGGTCGTGCGCAGCGACGGTGCCCGCATTGTAGCTAGCTCTGTTATCCGAGTCTCGACGGGCGAAAGCTTGAAGTCGGCCGGATCGGTCCTTGAGGCTCGTCGGATTCGCTCGGGTGGCCATGACTCTTGGTGTGCGTGAAGTGCGAGCCCGATTGATGGGCGGGCGCGTCGTCGCCGTCGTCGTCGTAGTCGTCGTCGTCAATCGCAGCTTTGTACGGCGCTGGGGTGAGGTAAGGAGGTACGGGCAGTGTATGCTGCCCGATTGCCTGCTACGGTTTCCCCGGATCTGAACGAGTGCTCTCCCCTTGTAGCGACGCCGGATAGGAAGGAGGGGTGCATCAGAGAGAGAGAAGAAGGGGGGGGGGGGAGAAGAAGAAATCACGCTCGGGCCTGGATCAGGATGAGGCGCGGGAGGCTGGGGACATGGGAGGGGTGAAGTCTTGGAGCCCTGCGCGTCAAAGTGCGGTGACGCGAACGGATTGGGAAGGCGCGACGGTTAAAGTGACCTGAGTAAGCATATGCATTATTGACCATTTCCACTCTACCCTACAAGGGTCGACATTCATCGTGGGCGAAATTTACAGGATAAGTCTGCATCCCATAGAAACGTTCTCGTTCCATTGCTCTCGTTCTTGTCGTATACGATTTCTATAACGCTTTGTTTATCTGATCCGTGCATCGTTACGAGTAATACTACAAGCAGAACAGGTGGTTTGTGTAGAGCTGTTACTTGGAAAGAAAATTAGGCACCGATAACTATCAACTACCATGTAATACTATATAATGATAACCATGTGGGATTGTAGTCAATTCACGACTGTACGAGTACTCCAATCATCACTCGGTTCGATATCAAGGCCCATGTCCTAGTCATGATACCCAGTGAACTCTTCCCAGAAACCAGTATTATGGAATCATATATTCATGACAAACTGCCTCGTCAAAGACGGAGGGGTATCTAGCTGAAATCACCAACTTATCTCACAATACAATAAGAACAAACCATGCCGTCGATGCTTAACAGCGCAAGAAAGACGAAAAAAAAAAAAGCAAAAAGCAAAAATCAAGGGATAATGAGAGGGGGACAAGGAAGTAAGAAAAGATAAATTGACAAGAAAAAAAAAAGGTGAGCTGGTCAGCCAGCAACTTTACATGGTCAATACCCGGCACCCCCCCTCAATCGAGGTCGTCGTCGTCTTCGTCCGAGAAATCAATATTGTTTGGACGGCGCGGGTCGCCACAGCAGGGACACAGGTCGTGATCCAAGATGCGATCCGTCATCTCGTATCCATTGTGCCGGCAAAACTGCACCCAGACTCGCTCGTCTGAGTCGCGAGAGGTGGGGACCCGCTTCCAGATGACAACGTCGTCGGGCCTCGTCGACGTGGGGTGACCGGTCTCGGCAGGTGCTGGTGGCATGATTCCAATCTTGGCGTGGCCGCGGCTAAAGATGGTGTCGGGGATCATGTCGAATTCCGAATCCGACTCGTAACTCGACTCCCTCTGGGCCCTGACAACACGGCTGCACCATCGGTCGCCCTTGAGCGGTATGAGGGGCCGGTTGACGGGCGCCACAAAGGCCGCCTGGCCGTCCAGATACAGACCCTCGTCCTTGAGCAGGCCGCTCAGCTCGGCGCTGGCCTTCATGCCGGGATCGTCGTGAGGCATGCCCGTCACCTGTATCTCATTGAGGTTGCAGCCAAACTCGTGGGAAGTTATGTCGTGGAAATCGGGGCCGGAGAAGGGGATGACCGTGTCGGAGAAGTTGACCAGGTCGAGGCGAAGTGACGTGAGAGAGGGAAGCAGCTTCGGTCGCGGCGTCGACTTGAGGTGGAACGAGGGATCGTAGGGAGCACGGAGACCGGTCAAGAAGTCGGCAACCTGGTTCCAGGTGTAGGAGCGGAAACCACCCCGGATGATGGGAACCTCCTTTGGCCTCTGCTCAACCCTGAGCTTCACCTCCTTCTTCATGTGGCGGTGGTACGAGCGGCCGAGCCTATGCTTCCGGTCCTGGTCGTCGTAGTACCGTGCAACGATGCGGAAGTTGACGTGCGATATCCGGCTGCGATACTCGGCGTTCAGTTCGCCAAAGGCGCGGACAGCCTCGGGCGTGGTGAAGACGAATGTGTTCAGGCTCCAGAGCATCCTGATACCCTCGGTATAGAGGGACCTGCACGTGGCCAGGAAGTGGATGGCAATCTGATTGCCTCTCGCCCTCTCGTCCTCGGAGAGGTTCGCGGGGGTGAGGGCCGACAGCGGATCGATGATGGGGTGGGGGCTCATCATGGCAAAGTGAAGGATACGGAGAATGACCTCTACCGGGAGATGCGGACGGCCCAGATCCTGAGACGTCATCGACGACCGAGTCTTGCGCTTGTTGGGCTGGACCAGATGGTCCTGCGAGACCGCGGACCAGGCGATGCCGTTCTCTCGAAGGAGGCGTTTCAGGCGCATGTTCTCATCGACGAGGGTGCGGTTGGTACGGCGCAGAGGGCCGTTGTACGCAGCCCTTGCCTGGTCCTCCTTGTCGCGGCACTCGAAGGCGAGAAAATCCTGATGGGAAGTCAGCCTCTGATGGGTTCCAGGGCATTCTGCTGAGCGGATACCGACCATATCTACATCCATGACCGTCGAGTCGCGACGGTACTAGCCGTTGGGCGCTGACGGTTCACCGGATAGGCAAAAAGGCAGTGGATTGTTAGAAAGGGGGGCAGGTGAGTCTTGGGGGCTGGTGTAGAGAGTCGCGATGCGCTGCCGTCGAGAGAAAGAGAAGAAGAAGGAGAAGAAGAAGAAGAAGAAGAAGAAGAAGAAGAAGAAGAAGAAGAAGAAGAAGAAACCGGGTACCGATTACAGCGACCTTTTGGATGGGATCCTGATAGGGGGCAGACCGGGACGTTGATGCGTATTATCGGCGCGAAACAGAGAGAGACAAGAGGCAATACAGGAAGGGGTAGTGTTTCTAGGCGGGGTGGGCGTGATAAGATAAAGACGACGGGTCGGATGTCGAGAGTGTGAATGGATAGACGAGGCAGACAGACAGGCGGGAGTCCAGAAATGGACAAGTTTAGAGATGGATGAGGTCAGAGATGGAGAAAGTCCAGCGCTTTTTGAGCATGAGGAGGAAGAAGAAGAAGAAGAAGAAGAAAAAGAAAGCAAGGTGGGAGCTTGTGGGAGGGAACAAAGGCAAAAAAACTGGCCCGCGGTTCCGCAAGGTGCGCACACATGCACGCACTCACACTATTATTACAAAGGAGAAAGGTCTCAAGCGACGGGCAGCTGCGGACGTCTGTTGAGAGAGTCTTTTTTCTATCGGCGTGTGAGGATGAGGTAATACGACAATACACCGGCCATCACCGCCGCCATTCAGCACCACTCCAGGGACATTTTATCCGTTATTTTACCAGGTAAACTCTCTCGACAGGTTTTGCCTCACTGCTCGTGGTAGAATGCTGTCGGTTGTCGTCTGTTCACACGTAGGCGGTATTCATACCAATACGTACGGTACCGCTCCGCACCATTACTATGGATATATTAATACCGAGAACAGTGAGTCGGTGGTTAGCTAAAACAGGCATCGACTGATACCAGATGGCGAAGATTAACACGGCTGATGCCAGCGGCATGAAACAATCACTCCGTACATGAGACTGATAGCAGTGATGTGTGTCAGATGCTGCCACACTCCATCCAACTGCCGATCAGGTTCATCGGCGTCGGAATGAGGAAGTTTTAGGGCGGCCGGCGATATCAGCAGCATGCGTTGCTCGTCTGTCTGGTCGTACACCGGTATCGGCAAAATGTATGCACCCCGTCACCGACAACGTCGAGGTATCATTGTCACCGTGACTCTCAAGTGATGAATCTCCCAACGGGCGGTACTAGTGGTGATAGTAGTCATGAGAACGACGGAATCGTCCACCATTGCTGCTATCGCCGGTGGTAATATACCAGTACCGTTCATCAGCGGCAGTGTACGGCCCTCTATTGCCATGCTGCCATCGTCTTGTAGTATTGATACAGCATTGTCGAGGCTCAAGACTCTGCCGGGGGGAGATGCCCCGTCACCATGCGACGGGAAACGCAGCCCAGCGCTGTCGCTGCGTAGAACACCACCGCACGCTTTATGATCAGTGTGATGTGGATAAACAGACCCAATCTCTCCCTCTCCCTCTCCCTCTTCCATTCCTTTACCGTTATTCTTCTTTTTGGTTTTTATAAAATTTTTTCCAAATCTCTTCTTCTTTTTTCTCTTCCATATTCACATAAAAGCCTACTGTTTCCCGTACTCCTCCTTCCACACACGATCCCACTTATCCTTGTCAACGGCAAACTGCCTGACAAAGTCGCTCTCCAGCTCATGCGCCCTGCGACCCAAGAGGACGAGACTGTGAAGCGGGGGGCCGAGCTCCTCGTCGGCGCCGCAGAGCTCTTCCAGCGTTCCGGCCACGAACTTCTCCGTCTTGCCACCCACGCGCGCGGCCCCGATGGCGAGGCTGTCGCGCGTGTAGACGCCCTCCTTGCGCTCGTCCTCGATCTCGATCATCTGCGCCGCGCACTGTCCCACCGTCATGTACCTGGGCGGCTCGTAGATCAGCCTGCCCCTCGCCATGTTCTCCAGGCTCTGCTCCTTGACCTTGATGTCCACCAGGACCAGCGTGTGCAGCCCGATGGACCGGTTCTCCTTTATGCGGTCGTAAAACGACGACGGCTTCCACGTGTCCGTGAAGAAGACCATCGACACCGTCTGGCCAAAGTTGTACAGCTGCAGACCGCAGGCGCCGATGCCAGACATGATGGACGCGTTGGGGACGGTGCGCACCGGGATCTCGAGCTCGCGCGCCCGCAGGACGAGGTCGGTGTGCGTCGTGGCCCTGTGAGACATCCAGCGTCAGCTTGGCATCCTCCAAGTCTTGCAGGGGAGCGGGGCGGGTGTAGAGAGGAGCTGACCCGAACGGATCTCCTACGACGCAGAATGCAACGTCCTCGTTCTGGGCGTTGCGCAGAATCTCGTCGCTGTTGGACTCGACCATCTCACGGTCCGCCACTGTGATGGACCGTCCATAGAATGATTCCTGCCTCCCGTGTCAGCTGTATGATACACCACCTCCTCTTCCTTTCGGCCGGTCGAGGGTTCGAGGGTGGTGTGTGGGGGGGGGGGGGGGGGGGGGGGGGGGGGGGGATGTCGTGCCATACCAGGACAGTCTGGTCGACGAGTAGAATGCTGGTGTAGGCCTCGAGGTAGACTCTCGAAGCAGACTTGACCACCTCGAGACCCTTGATGGTGATGTCTGTCTCGTCTGAGAGACCGAGACCCACGAGGTACAGCATGCTGACAACTTGGAGGAAAGAGGGTATGACTGGAGTATTGTTATGTTTCTCCCCACGATTCTTTCCTCTTGGGACGGCACTTTTTCTTATTTTTTTTTTCTTTTTTTCGCGCCGAAGATGATAAAAAAAATGCCCCGCGCCCGAACGCGGGGCATGAAAGTCTAGCCAGCACTTTAAAGTGGTCGTAATACTTACTACTACGTCGGTAGCACCATGCGCCGAAAAACCCCTGTAAGCTACTATTAATATATCAACGTCATGGGCGGTGTCTGTCTGTCTGACCTCTGGGATTTTGGCATCTTTTTTTTTTTTGGCTCCCTTGCTCCTGCTCGCGTCGCGTGTCAACCATCTCGGCCGCGCACCACACAACTATTCTCGGTCGGCAAACATATCATTCGTATCCGACATCTGCCCCCCCGCCCCCCTTTTCTCCCGGCACACGAAACGACGCCAATCATGTCCTACTCGAAAAAGGGCGGCGCCTACGGCACGCCAGCCGGCGACACCGACTTCCGCAAAAACTGGGATGTAGACGAATACGCCGCCAAGGCCAAGGACCGCGAAGCCAAGGAGAAGGAGGAGCGCAAGGCGCGATGGGAGGCCAAGATGGCAGGCAAGAAGTACCACCAGCAGCCGACGGGCAACGAGACGTACACGTCAGCGCGGCGCAACGTGCTCGACCTCTCGGCGCAGGTGGGCAAGACGCAGCTGGTGGCGGCGGGCGCGGGCGTGGGGAAGCGCGGGCGCAGCGCCGGCTTCTACTGCGAGTCGTGTGACCTCACCTTCAAGGACAACAAGCAGTTCGTCGAGCACCTGAACACGACGCAGCACCTGCTCAACACGGGGCAGACGACCGAGGTGCGGCGTGCGACGGTCGAGGAGGTCATGGCGCGCATCGACATGTACGTCCGGCGCCGGGACGATCTCGAGAGGGAGAAGGCCACTAGCCTGCACGACAGGCTGAAGCTGCGCGAGGACGAGATGGAGAAGGAGGCCGAGGAGAAGAGGGCGAAGCGGAAGGAGGAGGCAGAGAAGAAGAGACTGCAGAGGGAGGAGGCCGCCAAGGTCAAGACGGGCTACAGCGAGGATCTGAGGATCGAGGGCGAGCACGACGAGGACGACATGATGGCCCAGATGGGATTCACCGGGTTTGGAACCACGTCGAAGAAGTGAAGGACGAGCAGAGGATGCTTCGTGTATACTTACTACTACTACTACTACTATCCGTACTACTGTGCTGTTAGACTTGGGATATGATGGGCGTCTTTGGGCAGAGTTCCCCTATTATCTTTCTATAAAATCAGGCAATCTCCGAAGCATGCTGCGGACACAGGAGATGGTACCGGCGTGACGAAAGAAACCGTTTCCCAAGATTGCAATGCTCAGTCTTCACCCACTTTACGCGATGCACCGGAGGAAGCTACCGTGGACTTGCCCCCACTCTGGCGTGTCTGCCCCGCCATCCACCGTCATGTCGATAACCTCCCATCTGCTTTCCTGCGCTCCATCCTCAACTACATTTGCGTACTACCACCAGGACCGACTCAGCACCCAGCATTGCTCGCACCGACAGCCGTGCATGTACATCAGAGCATACCGCTGCATATACCAGCAGTATACACACGGTCCAAGAGATCCGAACATGTCCACCACCAACGCGGCAGCAACCCTGATCCGCCGCCAGCTCGAGGAGATCCGATCGAGCAAAGGCCTCCAGGGCGTATCGTGCGGTCTAGTCGATGAGAGCAACCTGTTCGAATGGGAAGTCATGTTGATGATAAATGATGACTGTAAATACTACGGAGGTGCTGACTCTCTTATCTCTCACCCCCCCTCCTCTTCTTCCCAATCCCTTCTCTCTCCATCTTCACTGGCTTGCCTACCTCCCAACCCCCCTCCCC